GTGCCGTGTGGGTGGCCGATGGCGCGCGCGCGTGTGTGTCGGTGTGTGTGTCGGTGTGTGTGTGTTCATTATTCATGGGGTATCGATTGTATCCGAGAGGGATGCGACGCCACTGCTTCAACGGCGGCGGCACGGCCGGACAGACTACTCGAGGATCGCGTCGTTAGTTAGGCAGGAAAAGGTTTGGGCAGTAGACCGCTTCCGACCAGAATGCTTCGGCGCTCTGTCTCCCTCGTACCCTGCGCCCCTTGAGTGTGAGTGAGAGAGACGCTGTGCGAGGGCGCTGCTCGAAACCGGCTTGCTGCCAGCCCGACAGCCCGGCACAGGACGAGGCAGGAGGCCCACTGGAAATGGTCGGTTTCGAGCGCGTTTTATGGTTTTGTGGTGCGGCCTACAAAGTCGCCTCCGCAATCCACCGACGGCCTCCTGCCTGCCGCGGTGCGCGGGGGCCTCGCCTCGCATCCAGTGCTGCGAGCCACCCTTGGCCGCCGAGGCATGCCTTGGCGGACCTGAGCCCCGAGGGGGTGTTTATTTTGTTGTTGTTGTTGTTGTTGTTGTTGTTGTTGGTGGTGGTGTTGGCGCGCTGTTGTTGTTGCTGCTGGGGTTTCCCTTCTTTCCGTCGTCGTTGTCTGCCCCGTGCGGTGCGGTGGGGAGGGGATTTTTGTCGGGCGGTGGCGCCGCAACATGCAAGCGTCTTCTCACGCCCTCATTGCTGCGACGCCCTGCCCCTCCCCCGTCCTCCCCGTCCCCCGAATAAGGCCCCCCGAGAAGGAGACTGAATAATAGAGTAGGTTTGTGTCACTCCTCGGCACGCCGGTCAAGTTCATGACCGAGGCGAGCGGGGCCTTCGACGCGCACGCCAGCAGAGGGCACGGACGGCCGCCAGCCTCGCCGCCGGCCTCGCCGTCAGCCGACGGGGTGCTCTGGCGTCTGGCGGCGAATCCAGGGAAGTGAAGGGCAGTGGCCGGCCGGGGGTGCCCGTCGACGCCTTGACCCAGTGCTCGGCCGCGGCGTCTCGGAGCAGGCCGACGAGGCCGACCTTGTCGTGCGCGTCGTGCGGAGTGCGCCCTGGGCCGCGGCCCTCGACAAGGACTGGCAAAGCAAACACCGCCCGCCTGTGATTGGCGCTTCGTGCTCGGTGCTTCGTGCTCGGCGCGCCACTGGAAGGCGCGGGAAGAAAGAATTAATTCCGGGCTGCTTTGGCAGTGGCCAGTGTTTGGAGCCGCTCGAGGCGTCACGCCGCGCCGACGGCTCGCTCGTGCAGGTCTCCGTGGCGAGCGAGCGATCTGCGTCGACGCGCACCTCCGGTTCGGCCTCGGCTCCAGGACGTTCCAGCAGTTATCAGTGTGGGGCTGCGCGGGCAGCGGCCACACCAGCAGCAATGAGGGGGCAGCGACCCTCCAATCAATACCATGCACACACACGCACACACACCAGCACACACCAACGTGCCCGTATCGCCAAACGGGGGCCCGGGTTATACACAGCGGAAGCTCTTGCCGGGGGCGGGGCGGAAAAGGGGAGGGGGCGTTTTGACAGTCCGCGGATCATTCGCAATCAATCCAGCCACCACGCCTTCCGGGCCTGTCGTGGACACCGGGCACGGTGGCGGATTACAGGGTTGGGTTGCCCACCGCCGCCAGGAGTTGTTGACCAGCACCGCAGCCTGGCTGTAGGCAACCCTAGCGGCAGGCTGGGTGCCACGGCGGGGGCGTTGTGTTGTGCGGTGGATGTGTCTGTCGAACGCCGTATCGACGTGACTGGCGTGACGACCGTGACGCGCCGTGACGCGCCGTGACGCGGCGTCTTGGACGGGCGTCTTGGACGGGTCACGCGAGTGGCGGCTGGCGGCGCGGACGGCGCGGATCGCCTACAGCGCGAGACGACGAACCTCACCGGCGTACGGGTGTCGTTCGCTAACAGGAAATCTGTCAGTGCCGAACCGGGATGCACGTCACTGCTCCGCGCGTCGCTCGCCGCTCGTCCCTGGCCGCTGGGGCACTGCACACTGAAGACGAGTCGTTTCGCCGCCGTCTCCCTCGCACTCGTGGCGCGTCCCGTCGGCGACGAGAACGTGCTGTGCATGAGCATGCTGTGGCGCGCGCCGCCGCCAAGGACGCCAAGGACGCGCTCCAGCTGCAGCCAGCCGGATATAAACTCCGTCCCGCAAACGGGCCTGTCCCTGTCCCTGCTGTCACTGAGAATTTGGCCAAGTTTCACTCGACACCCGCCTCGCCCCGCCCCGCCCCGCCCCAAGCGGCCTAGGCCCGCCCTTGCCTTCCGTGTTTTGGCGTTTTGATGGGGCTGCATAACAGCCGCAGTTGCTCCGCCAGGGGGCCGGGGTGGCCGAGGTGGGCCGAGGTGGGCCGAGGTGGGCCGGGGTGGCCGAGGTGGGCCGGGGTGGCCGAGGTGGGCCGAGGTGGGCCGAGGGGCCGGGGGGCCGGGGGGCTGCGTGGCCGCCTGCAAGTCTGGGGGAGGGGGAGGGTCGCGGGGGTGCGGTGGGGGCGGTTGGGGCGTCCCCCAATAAAATATATCCGCCTTTTTCTGGCCTTCCCTCCTTCCCTCCTTGTCGGTCTAGTGATGCGCCGCAGACTGAAGCAGACCAATGACGCGGCGGCAGACGCACGCGGCCCGCGCAAACCGCATGGCGTGGCGGTGTGGTTGGCAGTGTATCCACAATGCAGCCTCAGTCCTCCCGGACGCGGCACGCGGCATGAGGCTGCTGCTGCTGCTGGAGGCGACCGGTGGCCGCTCCTCGGACAGTTGTGTCCGGCCTGGCGGCGCGGCGGCACGGCACGGCACGGTGCTGGCGCGGGGAGTTTGGAGGCCGCGGCGGCGTGCGGGACTGCAGGGCCGCCGAGGCGACGGCGACGGGCCCCGACGGGCCGCCGCAGAACCATACGGAACAATGTATGTTTACCGATCGATGCTAACGGCGCGTCGCGGAGGCAGACACGCGGACACGCAGACACGCGCGGGGGCGGCGCGCGGGGGCGGCGGGCGGCGGCGGCACTATAAGGGCCGGGGGTACGTTCTACTTGCTTCCATCGTCCGTGGGCGGGGCGGCGGGGCGCACGGGACGGGCCGGGCGGGTTGCAGGTAAAACACACATTCATTTTATTGCCCCCCGCTTGCACACACGACGCTATCCGCCGTCGTTCCGAGACGCAAAACGGACTGGCAACGACGTCGAGGCCAAAGGGGCCAAACGGTGTGCTCGGGCGGGGTGAATGGCTGGGCCTTCGCGGATGGGAGGGCCGAAGGGAAGGGTTGATGGAAGGCCTAAGTGGCAGCCTCATTACCCTCCCCGATGCAGTCCCTGCAGTCGGCCACGCGCATCCAGCCAGCCAGCACGCGGTCCACTGCACATCGCTACCTCTCTTTCTCTCTCTCTCTCTCTCTCTCCCCCGCACGCTTGCGGGACGCCCCGAGAGCGCGAGAGAGAAAGCGACGGCAGCGGGGTTCGGAATCAGCCGGCAGACGAAAGCGGTTAAGTGGTTAAGCCCACTCTGCCAATACGCCGGGCTAGATTGCAGCCCACCTGAGGCGCTGGGGTGCGCGCGGGGAGGGAGCGGACGGGACAAGTGCGTGGCCCAGGCGTGGCCGCATCGCCGCATCGACCACCAGACCAGGGCGGCCACGGCGACAACGCCTGCACGTGCTGACGGTGCCGACGACAACGACCAGACTCAAGCCGTTGTGCCGGTGGCCTGGCGCTGCGGTGCCGTGTCTCCTTGGGGGCGGCGGGAGCAGGCGGGAGCATTGAAATGAAAGATTCGAAGGCACTGCCGGGTCCGCGTCGGCCGACGCGCTCGCCTGCTCTCCCTGCGCGTGTCGACTGTCGGCGTGGGCGTGGGGCTTCCCCGCCGAGCGGTGCACATGCCAAAGCTTCTTACGCGCGTGCTGCCCCTCCCCCACCCCTCCCCGCCCACGCTTTAGGCGCGCGGCGCGCACGGCGGGACCCACGGCGGCGGCCGGCAGCGGGGAGCGCCTGGCTGGGCAGGCAGGCCCGCCACACTGGGGCGTGCGACGGGACAGTCCGCTTCGCAGGCGCTAGAGCGCTCTGCAGTCTGGGCCTCGTGTACCTGGGTGCCTCGGCCATGACGACAACCCTTGGATCTCACGTGCCGATTTCGCGGCGCAGACCAGCGAGCGGCGAAGCAAGCCAAGCGACCAACTTGAGGCAACTTCTCCGGTGGGCTGCGGTACTCCACCGCCCTGCCGCTGCGTAGCGCCGCCGTGCCGAAAACGAGATACCGCTACTCTCGAATCAGATTCGAGGCAAACTTTGCCTTCATGTGTTTGGCACCCATTAGCAACATGGGCCGGCGAGTTTCGGCCTCGGCGGCAGGGAACTCCGTTCGGAGCGTGAGGCGCCGAGGCAACGCTGGCGTGCAGCGACGAGCCGTGACGGGCTTCGAGTGGACTCTGCCTTGTTGTGGCAACGAGTTACTCTAAAGTACACCGACCAAGCACCGCCAGCCACAGTCGAATCCCGCAGAAAGTCATTTCGCGAGGGGAAGTTAAGCGACAAAAATATTCACCAGGTGGCGCTGTTGGGCTCCAAACGAACTCCAGTCTTACTCTCGCGCCCCGCCGCCCCGCCCCGCTCGCCTAGGGGTGCGTGCTGGCAGTGCTGGGCGGCCGCGCTCGACGTGCCCGCTGGAAACTCAAAACTAATGCTGTCTGTCTCTGTTTCTGCTAAACACCAAACTCTAAACCGTAAAGTACTCGAGCTAAATAAGCAGCATTCGGCTCGGCCTCGCGGCAGTCGCGGCTCTCGCGGGGCGCGCCGTTCCCGGGGCTGGCTGGGGGTGCCGCAGCGACGGGCCCGACGGGGCGTGCAGGCCGTGCAGGCGCGGGGCCTCGGCCTCGGCCACGCCACCCGGGCCTCGGCCGCCATCCCCAGCCCTGCCTTCATCTTGCTAAAACCATGGCCCCGCCTCTCTGGCCTCGGCCGTAACTAAAGATCAAACCAGGGATAAAAGCGAACAGCGAACATGGCCGCCCTGGCGGCCTCAGCTACGGCCTCGGACTCGCCGGGCCCCACGGCCTCGTCCCTCGTCAACGGCGAGCAGCGTGCTGCGGGCAGTGCGGGCAGTGCGGGCCACGCGGCCCCGGCCCCCAACGCCTCTGACGCCGGCCTCGGATTCGCGGCCAGGCAGGGGCCGGCGTCCTTCTTGACGGCCTCGGACATCAACGGACACGTCGCGGCGGTAAGGTCGGCCTAGTCGGCGTGTCGGCCTCGGCGGAGAGGCCCTCGTCGTCGATGGTGGGAGGAGGAAGGGTGCTTCGCGGATCGAGATCCCCATTTTCTTTCCGCTAATCTGTGGCACGGCCGGCAGGCCGTTTACGAGGCCTCACCGCGGTAATTCGCCGTGGACTACTTAGCAGTGGCGCGGAGAGGAGAGGCTCGGCCGCGCAATTGCTGCGAGCCAATCAGCCGCACGCCACGCAGCGAGGGAGGGGAGGGGAGGGGGGACGCCGCAGTCGGAGGGGAGGGGCCGCGAAAGGGAAAGCCAGCGTGGCGGAGGGCCGTGGAGGGCCGTGGAGGGCCGCGGAGGGCGAGGCCGGGCGGGCGACGGTATGCTGTGTCCTGACCTCGTGGAGCCCCCTTCGCCGTGAGACAGCAGTCAAAATATGGAATAGATTTTTATTCGCGCGGCAGTGGGGTGGGCCCCAGGGTGGGGCCCCCTAGGGGTGGCCGGGGGAGGGGCGGCGGGGTGGCAGTGTGGTGGGGGCACCGTGGGGCGCGGCGGGCCGGGCAGAGGATGTAACGGAATGGTACGACGGCCTACAAAGCTTTGCCCCGCCCGCCCCCGCCGCGCCGCGCCCAGCCCGGTGCCTCCCGCGCGCGCCACCCCGTCGCACGCCCGCCGCGTCCCACACGAGGGTCACTGAGGAGGCCGAGACGCGTCCACAACACGACCCCTTTCCGTTGCAGAACTCAGCGGGGCAGCCGCAGTACAAGCAGGCGTCCCTGGTCGGCATCCAGCAGGCCTCGCCGCCCTACAGCCCCAGCAGCTACCAGCAGTCTCCCCCACCCCCACCGCGCAACAACAACAACTACAGCCAACAACAACAATTTCAGCAGCAACTAAGCGAGCAGTTGTACCAGAGGCAGTACACTTCCCCTCAACCCCAGCAGGCCAAGCAGCCCCCGCAGCAGCAGAGGTCTTTACCTTCGCCGCCGTCCGCCGCCGTCAACCAGGTCCCTAACCAGGTCCCCAACCAGGCCTCCAACCAGGTCCCCAACCAGGTCTCCAACCAGCTCGCGCCCCAGGCCGGCCACAACCAGCAGCTATCGCCACGGGGCCAGCAGCGCGTCCCTCCGCCTCAGCAACTTCCCCAAGCCGCGTACCCAAGGCCTCCCAGCCAAGGCTACCAACAGCAGCAACCACAACAACAACACCAACAGCAGCAACAAAGTGCGGCGCCTAACCGGTACCCGCCGACGCAGTTCCAGCCGCAGCAGCAGTACCAGCAGCAATACCCGCAGCAGTACGCCTTCCAGAACTACAACCACCACCCTCAGACGGAGCAGAAGCCGCCCCAGCCACCGCCGCCGCAGCAGGGAACGCCTCAGCGACAGCGCCCGCCACCGCTGACGCAGCTGCAGCAACTGCAGCAGCAGCACTCCGTGCAGAGTCCCCCGAGCAGCCCCAGCGCGTGGAAGCCGCCGAGCAGGCCGCCGTCGTCCCTGGGCGACCCGGGCACGCCCACGCGCTCCCAGTCCTTCCTGCTCGGCACGCCGCCAGCCTCGCCGCCGTCGAGGTCACCGCCGTCCGGGCAGGTCGCCGCGGGGCCGCGCAGGGCCGCCACGTCCGCGGAGCAGCAGCAGCCGCTGCAGCCGCCTCTGCAGCCAGCACTCGGCTGGGCGCGCGTCCGCAGCAGGCTCGTCGCGCACGCGGACATGGACGGCGGAGGGCAGCCGGGGCCGCCGGGGCCGCAGGGGCCGCAGGGGCCGCAGCAACAGGGCATGCCGCCGAGGATGCCGATGAACCAGCCGCCGCGGCCCGGACCGCCTGGGCCGCCCGGACCCCCCGGCCAGTACCCCGGCCCAGGGCCCGGGCAGTTCATGAAGCAGCAGCCGCCATTCCAAGGCCAGGGCCAGGGCCAGGGTGGCCCGCGGCCCGACCTCACCAACCGCATGCCCATGCCGGGGCAGCAGGGCCCGCCGCAGGGCTACCCAGGGCCGCCGCAAGGCATGCGGCCTATGCAGCCCATGCAGCCCATGCAGCCCATGCAGCGGCCGCCCTACAGGCCACAGGGCCCACCAGGTCCACAAGGCCCGCAGGGTCCACAGGGGGAGGGCGACCCGCGCATGCCGCGGCCCTTCGAGCGCACGGACAGCGTGATGCGCGGCGACCCCCGCATGCTCATCAGGGGACCGCCGCCTGGGCCTGGGGGCGGCCCTGGGGGTGGGCCCGGGGGCGGCCCAGGACCCGGGTACCAAATGGCCAAGCCCAACGTGGACCGGAGGAGCGTGGATGATGACGAGGACGTGGTCACGGTGCAGCGGGGGCCGCCCTATCCGAACAGAGCTCCACCGGGTCAGCAGCTCGGCCCGGGGCCCGGACAACCCGGACAGTTTGGACAGCCCGGTCAACCCGGACAACCTGGACAACCCGGACAGCAACCTCTTGGCATGGGCAGAGGCCAGCCCATGCGCAACGGCGCGCCACCAGGACCTCCAGGACCTCCAGGACAGCAGGGCGAAGGTGGCCCCCTCTCCAGGCCGCCCAGCGCGGGGTCGGCGGGGCCTCACGGAGGAATGGACCCCAGCCTGGCGGCCAAGCCCCCACCGGGGCCTCCTCGCCAGCAGCAGCAGCCCCTGCGGTCGTCCTTCGAGGAGGACAGACCGTCGTCCGGGGGAGGCGCCGGCAGGTTAGGTGGCGCCGTCAACAACCAGCCGGGCGGCCAGACGAACGGGATGCGGCCCGCCAACCCCCTGCAGAACGCGCCGCCCAACTTCCCCCTCAACACCACCTTCACCAAGGAGTCGAGCGAGCGCGTGCTCCAGGGCCCGCCCCAGGGCCCGCCCCAGCAGCCGCCGGCCGCCTTCAAGCCCGAAGACAGGAGAGAGCCGGACCGGTGGACGGCGCGGCCCGCGGCCGACGCGAGCGGCGTGGACCTACCGAGAAGACCGGAGCCGCCCTTCAAGCTGGCCACCGAGAGGTCCTTCGACAACGCCAACGCGAGCAGGGTCCTGGGCGAGGCGACGAGGGAACGACCGCCGAGCGCGTCGGGAGACAGGAACGCCCCAGCCTCCCTCACCAACGGCATCTCCAGCAAGATCGTGGAGCGGACGCCCGGCGTGCGGACGTCGCCCGGCGCCGCGGACGCGCACAAGGCAGGCTCAGGTGAGTGCAGTGGAGTGCAGTGCTCCCTCGCGAGGCGTGTGGCTGTTAAGCCGCCGCGCATGCGAACACACTCGGGCTCGGAGGCGCAGAGAAAAGGTAAGGTCGCGGTGACCCTGAGGGTGGCGAGGGTGACCCCGCGAAGGAGGAGGAGAGGTGGAGCGGCCTTGCCCCGAGCAATAACAAACTGACTCCGCATCATTCTTTTTCCAGATGGAGACCACGATAGCGGAGTGGATGAGTCGACCCAGGGCAGGGTGAGTACCCAGGACCCGTTGCCGTCGGCCCTTCGGGGAGCAATAAATAGAGTTTCGGCTTGACACCCGCTTTCACCTGTCGCAGGACGTGAACGGGGCGATGGCGCCCGCCAAGCTCCCCATCAAGCCGAGGGGCAGGCCCCGGGAGACGCGCGGCCCGCGCGACCCCAGCGCGCCCCCGGCCACCGGCGGGGACCTCTCGCCGCTCAAGTCGCCCCTCAAGTCGCCCAGGTCCGCGTCGCAGTCCGTGCCCAGGACTCCGGACGGCGCGGCCAAAAGTAAGGGTCCGGATTGAGGACGGCAAAGGCGAGTTTGACGCGAACCTTTTGGCGTAACTGTCTGTCCGCCCTTCCCGCAGAGCTGCCGATGAACAAGATCCAGGTGGGCGCGGCGCCGTCGCCCAACCTGAAGACGGTGAGGTCCAAGATCGGGTCGCTGCAGAACGCGGCCTACAAGCCGGGCGGCGGCCGCGTCAAGATCGAGAGCAGGAAGCTGGAGTGGAAGGCGGCGCCCAAGATCGAGGCCCTCAACGACACCTACGTCCCGCGCGGCGGCGACAAGAAGGTACAAATGAGAAGAAAAAAGGTATAGTGCTTTAAGGGAAATCCTTTTGTTTAATTTCTTGTTCACTCCTGTTTGGGCCAGATTGAGCAGAAAAAGCTTATCTGGAATGCCAAGTCCAAGATCGGGTCCCTGGACAACACGGCCCACAAGCCGGGCGGAGGGGACAAGAAGATCGAATCGGTGAAGCTGGACTTCAAGGACAAGGCCAAGCCAAAGATCGGCTCCAAGGACAACATGACACACAAGCCTGGCGGGGGCAAGGTCAAGGTGAGAGCAGTTTTGCGTTTTTTAAATAATTTTTTCAACTTTTTTACTCTTTTGGTGATGAAGAATGTGCATGCCAGCTACATCTTTTTGAAAAGAATTTCAGCCTCCTAGAAACTGCATATTTTTGCCATTGTTTTGAAAGTACGAGAAATGATACTGTAGTAAACAAAACCGGGAGCGCCCCTACGGTTTTGCATGCATTTTTCCACAAAAATCCCAGATGTCAGTTTTGTAAAAATTCTTCATTTTTTGGGCATTGAAGCACTCGCAGCATGCGCAGGATCAGTGCGGCTCGTCATCCACCCCCCAGCGCCCCCCCCCCCTCTCTCCCCCTTTCTCTGGCGACGAGCCCGCACTGATCCTGGAGCGTCATATTTCCACGCAGGAAGGCGACGCGTAGGGCGTAGCCACGGCGCCACCGCCACCGAGCAGCCATGCCGCCACGCCGCCCTGCAGGGCCTTGGCAGGGCTCGGCACGGCCCTGCTGCCTCAGCCTCCAGGAGCAGGAGCGACGCGGGGCGACGCGTCCGCGGCCAGGGCCTTGTGGTCGATGACGAGCACGACCGGGCCGACGTGGCCGAGGCGGGGCCGAGGCGTGTGGCCGACTCACCTCATTAACTTGTATCTAACCGTCCATCCGTCGACTTCGCTTCTCATAGGACCAATAACTGTAGACAAAACGAATCTCACCGAGACATTCCAGACTCACACGACGACTAAGATGATGATTAACATGACGTACCCGCTGTGCAGCATGACGTCGTTCTCGGTTTACTTTATTGTATCACCGCTCCCGGTAGCTTTGTCGTGCTTTATGTAATTAATTATTCTGCATTATTGTTAGAGTTTCTTTTTTTAATACGTCGTGGTATCAGATTGACTTTTTTGGTAGATTTTTAAAGGCTGCCTCAAGAGGTCTCTCGTGAAAGTCTTTCTTATGTTAGTGTATTGTAAAAACTTTTCTTTACATTTAATGACAAACGATTACCTAATTTACGTGATCTCCTTCATAGTAAACAAGTAATAAGTAACCTCATTGTGACCTCTGTATTTTTCTATTTTTCTTTTCGTAGTGTCATTTAGACCTTTTTGTACAACCCGTTCCATAAAAGGTAAACTTTAAGAGCACCAAAAGGTACATAAAATGGTAGCTTTAGGTTTTCTTTGCCGAGTAAAAACTCCCTGTCGGTGTGTCCAATACTGCAGAGAGACGCGTGAATGTACGGTGGGGTCAGATTTTGGGGCCAGATGTTGGTTGGGCTGCCTACCCGGAGCTAGGGACCCCGGAGCTTGTCGGGCGCCGCTCGGCTTCTTTTGGGAAAGGGAAACGGAAATCAAACCTCTGATACCACATCAAGTATGACAAAATTGTCTCAACTCAACTCAATAAAAAATAATCACAAAACACCCAATTGTTTTTATTTTACTGCTGATGCAGAATTTTTTTTTACTAAAGGGTAGGCCTAACATGCAATGAAACAAACCATAGAGAGGTAAGTTATTTTTTCGACTGTCTTGGCACACCCTTTAGAATCTAAATTGCCTCGGCAAAAAGTGTAGCAAATACTGACTAATCTCTGTCTGTATAAAGGTGACATTGACCTAACTGCACCGAACTAACTGCACCCGAGGAAGATTATGTCCGCACTGCACGAGTTCGCTTACAATAATTATGAGTTAAATAGTCATTTGTTACAAAACTAATCCTATTTTCAACAGTGGAACCGGTCTTGAGCTTTGTGTAAATGGCGTTTAGTATCACTAAGAAGATGAGAAATAGGTTTACCCTCTAATACACCGAAGCTCTTTTTCAGCACGTGTGTACATAACACTCACATTCTCTCTCTGTCTGTCTGCCGTGTCATCTGGTGTGTGTCTGTCTCTGTTGCGCACTCGTCGGTAGTCGCCCTGTCCCCGGCACCATCAAGCGGGTTGTTGACGTAACGCATTTTTAACGCAGCCGTGACGGGTGGCGGTTCGACTGTGCGTTGCACATGCGATACGTTTGGAACCCTTATTCTTGCTTTTGACCACTGCGAGCCTTCGCGCCGATCCGAACGGTGTAAATACACCCCGCCCCCACCTGTCTGTCTGTGTCTGTCGCACGCAGCCTGCGCGACACGCCCCGCCGAGCCTAACGGTCCTCACCGTCCTGTTACAGATCGAGGACCAGAAGATTGAAGTCAAGGCCCAGAGCAAGATCGGCTCGCTGGACAACGTCAAGCACAAACCCGGCGGCGGCGAGAGGAAGATCTTCGACGACAAGGACTACCTGCGGCAGATGTCGACCCCCAGCGAGCGCGACCCCAGCTCCTGCCGGAGTTCCAGAGCGCCCTCGGAGGGTCGAGCATCCGGCGCCCACGTACGTCTCACTCACTGGGATCCTCGACGAGAAAGTCCAAATTTGCCACCAATTTCAATTATCTGTCTCCTTCCACCCACAGAGTCCCATGCTGAGGTCTCCGTCCATGGCGCGGTCAGAACAGAGCGAGGGCTAAGGACGCGTCGGAGCCGCAGCCTCCCGCCGGCGTCGCCGACGTCCACCCCTCCACCCTCGCCGTCCTTGGGGACCTTTGGGACCGCCCTGCCCTGCCCTGCACCGTGCCATCGCCAACAACAACGCCCTCGACGAGTTCCTGCTCATCTCAGTCATCGTTGTTTTCCGGTCACGGGGAAAACCAGAGAAACAAGACGATTTTGTACTTTGTACCCACGAGTTTTTAGTCGCGCTGTGCGAGCAGCGTGTGTAGCGTTTTGTAACGCATGTTTATCAATAAATGACTTTCGCACTTCCCCTCGCGAGATACGTGAGCTCGACTTGGGGGACTCATGCCCCATTCGCGAGGAGGAGTTTTGTTGTGTAGAATTTTATATAACGTGTTTCGCTTCGTTTCACTGTAAAAAATTTTGACACGAAATTTCTTGTTGTGGCTAGTGAAACGCCCCTTCTTAGTTATACTTCTAATGAATTTCGTGTGCCAGTGGCAATGAAATCTCGTTCGCCATGGCACACGAAATTTTGTTGGCCACTGGCGATCAGAAGGCTTCTTCCTACGCCAAATGGCAATTTTTGAGTCGTGGCGCTGGCAAGGATACTCGGAACCAATATTGTGAACTTTCTAGTTGTGGCGAGGAGAATTCGTCTCGGGCCGATGAAAAAAGCGGCACGAGCGGTCGGCATAGAACCCGAAACTTCAACTTGGATGTCTTGTGCCCTGACCCCTCGGCCACCGCACCGCTGCTTGGCAGAGCGCTCGACGGAGCTTCATCATGGACTCGCGAGGACTAGTCTGGCCACCACCAGGTGCGGCGAAGCAAAGCATCCTTCCCTTAGCCACGACTTGAAATTTCATAACTGTCGTCAGGGTAGGATGCCTTTTCAGTGCCACACCTATGATTTTTCTTCGCCAAGGGGCTGTTAAATTTAAAGTCGTGGCTGAGGGAAGCATCGTTTTGTTAGCCAAGCGGTAAATTTCACGTTTCGAACTTGGAATTTCATAAGCCACTGGCACTATAAATTCACTGTCGCGGTTTGGAAAGTGACCTTTCCATAGCCAGTGGCGCTTTAAACACACTTTCGTGTCTGGCTAAGAAAATTCAAGAAGCCATTGGCTACATAAATTTAATGGTATTTTTTACAGTGTTTATCATAGAGTTTTGAGTTTGTTTCCCTGTCTTACTATACCGCGAGTGCCATTATTATGTACGTAACTTTTAGGTAACTTGTTTTATACTGTTGTAAAACCTATCATTTTGACTTTGACTGCGCTAGTGTATATTCTCCACGAGGAGCAACCAACTTCTCCTGGCTAGAGGCGTTTGTACGATCAGAATGGATGCACATTTTGTCAGCTGATATTGGTGTAAGCCTGACTCACGAAATAAAATTAATGTTAAGGTTTCTTTTATAAGTCTGTACACTAATTGCTGCATAAAATACCTTACCCGCAATTTTTTTGCGTTTCTAACGCAATTTTAGAAAATAAAAATCGCCATTCGATTTTCCTTTTTGTTTTTAAAGAGATAAAGCAAATCCAGTGTAAATCTTTCAGCCTTTGTTTTTCATCATAAATATTGATTAAATTTAATTCTACCTCAAATTTTCCCTTTGTTTATTCATTCTCCCATAAAACCATAAAATTGAGCCCTTCACAATACATATGCGTGGACGCGGCTACTTCTAGAATGACTCATTAACTACGAGACATTCAAGTCCCAGCAAGGGGACCACTGGACTACTGGACCGGCCGCCGCCTGCAGTCAAATGTGCCTTCCGCGCGGAGATAGGGCTGACTGGGGCCTATTCGCAGTGGGAGTTTTGTGTTAATTTTATATAACGTGTTTCGCTTCGTTTTATCATAGAGTTTTGAGGTTGTTTCCCTGTCTACTATACCGCGAGTGCCATTATTATGTACGAACTTTTAGGTACTTGTTTATCTGTTGTAAAACCTATCATTTGACTTTGACTGCGCTAGGTATATTCTCCACGAGGAGCAACAACTTCTCCTGCTAGAGGCGTTTGTACGATCAGATGGATGCACATTCTTGTCAGCTGATATTGGTGAAGCCTGACTCACGGATAAATATGTTAAGGTTCTTTATAGTCTGTACACTAATTGCTGCATAAAATACCTTACCTGCATTTTTGCGTTTCTAACGCAATTTAGCAAATAAAAATCGCCATTCGATTTTCTTTTGTTTTAAAGAGATAAAGCAACAGTGTAAATCTTCAGCCTTTGTTTTTCATCATAATATTGATTAATTTATTCTACCTCAAATTTTCCCTTTGTTTATTCATTCTCCCATAAAACATAAATTGAGCCCTTCACAATATATCGTGGACGCGGTACTTCTAGAATGATCATTAACTACGAGACATTCTAAGTCCCAGCAAGGGGACCACTGGACTACTGGACCGGCCGCCGCCTGCAGTCAAATGTGCCGCCGCGCGGAGCAGGCTGCCGGCGCCTATTCGCAGTGCTGAGCGTGTTATTCGCAGGAGAAGGAAGGGGGAGGGGACGAGGGACACCTGACGTAAACACAACTCTTTGGGAGACTGGAAAACAGTTCTTTGGATTAACATTCCTTAAAATTGTAAGCCGTAACACTTCCCCCAAAAATCTCTCGTCATGGCGGCTATCGATAAAGTGAAGGTCATCGTTGTCGGGGATTCTGGTGAGTGTGGTTATGTGATCTGTCAAAGCACGATTCACTCATTCATTTCTTACTTTTTTGATGTAAATCGTCGTGACGTCCAGTGTCTCTGCCATTTTCTCAGTTTCTCATGTAATTTTCACACTTTATCATTCGTGTTCCTCTAGGAGTGGGCAAATCGTCCTTAGTGCAGCTCATCTGTCATGGGCAAACTATTAGCAACCCTTCGTGGACGGTGGGATGCTCTGTTGAGATGAAGCTTCATGAATATCGCGAGGGAACTCAAAATCAAAAGACTTACTTTGTGGAGCTGTGGGATGTTGGTGGCAGCAGCAGTCACCGCAATACACGATCAGTGTTCTACAACCCTACCCACGGAATAATTCTTGTTCATGATTTGACAAACCGAAAGTCCGAACAAAATCTTCAGAAGTGGCTGGCGGAGGTATTAAACAAAGAAGGCAATTCAAAGTACAAGAACCACACTTTTGATGACTTTGATCCTGAGCAGTTCGTTGGCTCTACACAGGTACATGATCTTGGACTCAAATGGAATAGCTATTCAAATGAAATAGTTAATCTTTACTGGTGTGTTGAATATCCAAATTTCTATTTTACAGATTCCCATTCTTGTGATTGGTACAAAGGTTGATATGCTTGAAGCATCCCGTGCACATGCTCAGAGGAGATCAGCAACAATTGCTGAAGAATGTGCTGCGGACGAAATTGCTGTAGTATGTATGAAGATTGTTGCTCAGTGGCGGTATTTGTGTAAGGGTACTGTCATTTAGAGACTAATGTGTTTTTACGCTCGATTTCAGGATAATACTGAGGTGCGGTCCTTGGCAGCAGGAAGCAGTTCGGCTGTTAAACTTAGCAGGTTTTTTGATAAGGTAATAGAAAGGCGGCATCATGGCCGTGACAGTATCAGCCCGTATGTTGATAGAAATAATTTAAGTGGGCGAAGGCCATTCTCCTCCCCACTCAGTAACCCAATGAGCCCTCTGAGTACCTTGAGTCCCTTAAGTGGATATAGTGCCTACAGTGCGTACAGTTTTAAATCTGCTCATAATGAATAGAGGCTATTAGATATTTATGGAAGACTGAGCTATTAAAATGTCAAAATAATTTTCCATGTTGCATTTTCTATGTATGTTAAAAGAATTTATTGTGCTATTTTTTGTTTCATGTAATTTCCATTTCTTTAAATAAAATTGTCATAAAAATTTGACAAAATTTGTTAGCTACATATCTATAGATGCTATTTGCATTTCCAAAGTCTGCGACACATTTCTTATTATCTCATCCTCCTGTATTCCATCATCATCATCATCAGACTCGACTTTGGTTGTATCAGCTGTCTGTCTTTCGTCATCTTTATTCATTTTGTCATCTGCCTCTGGTTTGCTTGTTGGTTGATGATTCTTATCAGTACAATTTACTTTCTGTTTCTGTGATTTTCTTCTCCTCTTATCTTCCACACTTCTCCATTCTTGCAAGTGCTGCAGGAGCTGGCCTGTCAGCTGCTTGCGTTCTTCTGGAAGCATTGCCATGATGTTTTCGTGTTGATCCAGCAGCTTCTTGATCTGCACACATCTGCTTATCCTCACATCACTCTTCCTAACAACTTTTGCTTGTTTGATTTGGGCGTTTGTGACCTTTGTCTCCATGTGTGGCGGTTGAACGTCGTCCTCCCTGGAGATTTCTGTTTCCGGCAGTTCCTCCACAGCCTTGAAGTCCCTGAGTGCGCCGATGACGACGTCCCGGGCGTCCTCGCTGTCGGAGCTGGCGTGCCTCAGGGGCGGGCCTGCCTCGCCCTCGCCCTCCGACGCCTCGCTGTCGTCCTCGTCGCTCGCGCTGTCCGTCGCCATCCTCTGGATGCTCTCCATGATGGCGCGCTCCTCGTCGGAGAGGTCGTTCCTGGCGCGCAGGTCGTCCAGGTAGCGCTGCGCGATGGTCTGGTGGTCGAGGATGGCCTCCCCCGGGCCGGCCTGGCCTGCCTCGTGGCCTGCCGCGCGGCGTGCGCATGCTTCGGGCAGGCGGCCCCGAATCCATTCGTACTTCGGGACCACCACCCTGGACTCCGAGTCGGCGTCGGGCTGCGTCACGAGGGCCTCGAGGCGAGCCAGCGCCTCCAGCTCGTCGGGGCTTGGCGCACACTCCGGACCGTCCTGTCCCGCTGACTTGCAGTCCGGTGTCTCGGTCTCGGTGACGGCGGCCTCGGTGACGGCGGCCTCGGTGACGGCGGCCTCGCTGACGGCGGCCTCGCTGACGGCGGCCTCGCTGACGGCGGCCTCGCTGACGGCGGCCTCGCTGACGGCGGCCTCGCTGACGGCGGCCTCGCTGACGGCGGCCTCGCTGACGGCGGCCTCGCTGACGGCGGCCTCGCTGACGGCGGCCTTGCTGACGGCGGCCTCGCTGACGGCGGTCTCGGTGACGGCGGTCTCCGTGATGGTAGCATCGGTGACGGCGGTCTCCCCGGCGAGCGTCTCTACGTGTACTTCCCCGGCATCGGGGCTTTCCACATGCATACACTCGGCGTCGAGGGCTCGGACGTCCACCCTCTCCTCCTCAAGTCCCGGTTCGTCGGCGGCCACGGGTCGCACGTCATCGCGAACGCTGGGCCCCGCCACGGGCTCGGGCACCTCCTCGATGAGTATCCGCGGCGCCGCGGCCCTGGCGGGCGTCGCCTTGCGTGTGACGCCGGCAGTCGCGGCCTCCTCCAGCCCTTCCAGCGCTAGCAGCGAGCTGTCACGCTGCGGCTGGCAGTGCTGGCGCGGGCAGAGGTCCTGCAAGTCGTGGTCGGGCGGGTCGAGGCCGTCACCGTCCTCCTCTATCATCTCAATGAGCTTGGCGCACTGAGGGCCCGGCGCGCCGAGGCCGAGGCCGAGTCCCTGCTGGCCTCGTTTCCTCTGCGGCAGCGTCGGGCTGCTCGGCGGGTCCTCCGCGCCGACCTTGAATCAGGACGGCCACTGTGAGACACTTCTGGACACGCGGCCGGCCGCCACACACTCACACACATACACGTACCTCTGAGACGAGGACGCCCCCGCTTTGACGGAGTACGTCCCCAGCCGGCCCCGCTGCCACCGCCGGTGCGTCCGAGTCCGAGGATAGCCCTGCCTCCTCGTCGCTGACGGCGTCCTCAGCCGCGCCATCGCCGCCCAGCTCGCCGCCGGACACCTGTCGCAGCCCAGAACGTACAGGTGAGCCCCCATTTTTCTGCCCCGACCCAAGTCGCCTTTATGTTCGATTGCATTTTTTTTGTGCGTGCTGCTACCCTCTGTCGGTGACGTGTTCCCGAATCCGTTTACGAGCGCGCTGGGGGAAAGAGGGGGGGGGGGAGAAAGGGAAAGGCAGCAGGGGAGAAGGGAAGTGGTGGGAAGGGGCCCCACGGGGATGCGGGCCGAGGCGGCAAGGCGCGCGGCGAGGCACTCAGCCTGCCAGCCTGCCAGGGCCGCCGCCGTCACACAGCTGAGTGCCGCGGGCCTGCCTACCTGCACGGCGCTCCACGCGCTCCATGCGGACAGCTAGCCAGCCAGCGTGAGTCTTTGTGGGACTTCCCTGGGCCTTCCTCGCTCACCCTGTCCGCCGACGCGTTGCTGCAGGCCGCCGACGCCGCGTCCCCCGCCGACGCCTCGGTCTGCTTGGCCTCGGCTGGCCTGGCGTCGTCCCGGCCGCGCCGGATCCGCATGAGCGCTGCAACACGACAAAGACGCGCTTGACGGAGGCGGGCGGCACCTTACCGTGTCTGGAGCAGCAAGGCGGGCTCGGCCTCGACCAGCACGGCCTCGGGGTCAACTCACTGGCTGTGGACAGCAGAAACGCGAGTGTGTTGCTTCGGGCGGCGATCTTTCTATTCTAATCTATTCTATTGCTAAACTTGCATAGCGGCATAGGGGCGCCGGAAGATAGACATCTAGTGCATTAAGTGGAAGGCGGCGGGCGTCGAAGGCTCCCACGGCCGTTTCCACTCCTGGCGCTTTACCGTTGACGCTGTCGGAGATCCGCCTGTTCTCCGCGTCCTGCAGCTCCTTCCGCATGGCGCGCTCCGCCTCCGGGCCCCCCTTCTCCCTGCAGGGCATGCCGACAGTCATTGTTAGGTTAGTCTCTTCGTCGTGTTTTTTCGGAACCGCGATCCACGCCATGTGTCGCACTGACCATGCCTCTGCGCATCGTCTGTCCTTGTCGAACACGGGCCTGGCGTCGAGGTATGTCAGTTGTTTCTGCAACAAAATTCTCTCTGTTCGTGTTTTCTTTTTAGTCGCTGCAAATGGCCAAGGTCTCCGCGGAGCCCCGCGTATGCCCATCATTAACCGGTCTGGCTTGACGGGCTAGCCAACCGGAATAATGGAAAGGAAGAAAAAAAGAGAGAGAAAAAAAGAGCACACTGGTGTTTGAACTCGCGGCACTCACACAGGCCAGCGTGACGGCCTTCCTGTAGTTCGGGACGTTCTTGATGACGGGGTTGCCGGTGAGCGTGAGCACGCGCAGGTTGGGTATGGCGCCCAGCACGCCGAGCACGCCGGGGTCCTCGATGACGTTGTGGGAGAGGTCCAGCACGCCCAGCGCGGCGCAGCGCTGCAGCTCGGCGACGTCCTCCACCGCCCGGAGGCGGTTGTGGGACACGTTGAGCGTGTGCAGCGCGGGCAGCGCGCCTGCCGACAACAAGTAGAGCGGAATGGTGGGACTCGCCCTGATTGCGGGGCATCGCGTTCAAGTGATGCAGCAGCGGGCACAGTGTGGTACAGTGCTGCACCAGGTACACTGCAGAGTTCGCGGTGCCGCCACCGAACTCACTCAGGTTCTGCAGCTGGTGCAGGTTGTTGTGCGACAAGTTGAGCGTGTCGAGGAACTCGAGGTGCTCCAGGTTCTCGATGCTGGAGATGAGGTTGTGGTGCAGGTACAGGCAGCGGAGCTGCAGCTGCTGGTCCAGGTTCTCGATGCAGCAAATGCCATTGCTCTCCAGCCAGAGGCACTTGAGCCCCGTGTACTCCTCGAGGTTCTCGATCTTGGTGTAACCTGGTGTTGTTTTGGTACGGTTTAGTGGGTTGGCCACCCTGTCCCATTTGGTCCCATAGACGACGTGAGCTAGGCGAAAGAAGAGGAAGAAAATACCTTCCCGAACATGGCGGCCGGCCCCTCATTGGTCCTAGCAGCCGACGGCGGCCGTCCGCCATGTTCGGGAAGGTGTTTTCTTCCTCTTCTTTCGCCTAGCTCAAGTCGTCTATTGCTCTCCCCTACCTTTGTAGTGGAGGTACAGGATGTCGTTGAGGTGTGGCGTCACGTACCCCTTGTTCTCCTTGCACAGGCGCCTCAGGGACTCGCGCGTTATCCTGAAGAAGGCCACGACAGTCGAACCATGCTGGCTGATTCCGAGCAGTGACATCTCTCTGTCTCTTTCGCACCCCTACGGGACGCCCCATGAGTGCGAGAGAGACAGGGCGATGAAGCCTCTGTCCGGAATCCTCCTCCTGCGCGGCAACCTCCAAAGCCCTCTACGATCGATGACGACTGGCCCGCGCTTTTTACTGAAACGATCCCACGAGTAGACAGTTCTCACCGGGGCTGCTTGTCTTCCTCCTCATCTTGGCGCGTTTGCAGTTTCCCGCGGTTTTTGCCAACACAGGACATGTTTTATTCCGCCGGCCGAGCTTCCTCCACGAGACGTGTTTTGTTGCTATGGCAACCCACCCCGACCCACCCCCTCGCCTCCCGGCCGGGGGTTGAGGGAGAGAGGCACAACTTGGCACGAAATACTTTCTGCGTCTGTTTCGATGTGCGTTCAATTGCCTTGCCTGCCACACCCAGGGCGCGTCCCGAACACCCAAACATGGCGGGCCTGGGACTTCCCTCGTGCGGGGCCTGCTCCCCTTAGGCTCGCCCTACCTTTCTTACTTGGTCCTTCCCCGATTGGGGCTTGTGATGAATGACTCGGGGTAACCAGTTCATCTGTACCCACACTGGCGGGTTGCCTATCGGTGCGTGCGCAGGCGCGGCCTGGCAGGCAGAGCGGGCCTCGCGGTGCTAGCCGTCTTCATGGTGCGGAAGTGACCAGTGACCCGTGGAGCGGCGGCTCTGGTCCACGGCAGACGGGACGGGACGGGACCATGTCGCGAACGAAGCCCATCGTGGGCCCCATGCGGCCCCATGCCATGCCGCGTGCCATGTGCCCATGGCCATCGGGTCGGTCTACGGTCTAGTCTAGTCGAGGCGGTCTAGCCAGGGCCAGGGCCACAGAGGGAGGGGGCAGGGGCAGTCTCTCGGCGTAATCTGCACAGTGCGCGCGTGGCTCGGCGTCGGCGCCTGAACGTCGCGGCTCGGCTGCTCTGGCTGGGCACTGGGTGGACGGTGGACAGCAGGCAGAGGGGTTGGGGGTTGGGGTTGGTTGGGGGGTAGGGGTTGGGGGTTGGCAGCCTTGGCGCAAGGAACGGTGCAAGTCGCAGGGCTGTGAGGGGCGTCGCGTCGCGTCGTCTGCTAGGCCAGGGGCAGCCCGTGGGCAGCCTCTCGCCAGGCAGTCTGCAGTTGTTGCATAATTGCTGGCTTTGCTCCGGTAATGAGAGGGTGAACCTGTGGCCGCGCTCGGCGCCAAAGGCAGCCAAAGGCGGAGGAGGACATTGCCGAGGCTTTCGAGCGGCCCATTCCCATTTCCACACAATGAAGGAGAAGGAGCTGCACCACGGTGAGTGCCAGTCCGTCTGCTGGGAAACTTTCTCTAGTGGGGCGTTGCAAAATAGACCAAGGTTCAGGAAACTCGGATCAGGGTGCGACAGAACAGCTGAGAGTGATAGGACGGAGGCCTTAATGGTCACAATTGGATCGAGGCGAGTGGACTGTCAGGACGGCTCAGCTGTTTGTGGTGCGGGGACGCTGTCAGACGAGTTTCGTCTGCTACTGGAGCCTGGGGTTGGAACCAAGTAAACATTCCGCTTCCGTTAGTATCAGCCTTACGCTGTTGATTCCTTTACATTTTCCTCTTTGGTTTTCGTGTTGTCTCTTTGCCAAGAGCCGTGCTGTCATCCGTTATTAGAAGAAATGTTTTATTTACAGTGGTTGTGTTAGGTTATTGTTTGGTTTCCTTATTGCATTTTCTTGCGATTCTGATGTTTGTCATTGGCATTCAGCTCTTGTCATTGATGTTGTTGTCATTAACTCTATAAATTATAACCTTTCTTTGTCATCAGGTTCAGCAGCCTCTTTGGAGAAGGACTGTTTTCATACACTAAAGTCTGCTGAATGACAATGAAGGTTCGAAACGGCTCAGTATCATCAGATAAAGTTAATAATTGTGAAGGTCTCTGTGGTTCAACTTCCAGCTCTGTGAGTTGGATCTTTAAAACAATGCATTGGTAAGACTTCTATTTTTCTTTACCATATTGGTTCTTTAATTTTTATTTAAAAGGCAAAATCTTCGCTTATTTTAGTAATCTGAAATATTTTATTCCTTTCAGTGTCAAGTGGCGTAATTCTCCGGCCCTCTCCAATCAGGCCTATGTACCGACTACAGTCGAACATGTAGCTAATATCTTAACACATGGAGTAAGTTAATTTACAGTAAACAGTCTAGGATCATTTTCACAACCAATTTTATGACATACCTTTCCCTTTGCAGTTGCTGATCATACCTAGTGCTTGGGCTTCAAGGGACTTGATGAGCCGCTCTCAGTCCTGGGCACAGTATCTGTCAGCTTTGGTCTACGGTTCATCTCTGGTTCTCCTATTCCTCATGTCAACTTCCTTCCATACAGTTCACTTCTGTGGACTTAGCAGGTAAAAGGAAGATTCAAAATGCTATCTGATTTGGATTGTGTAATCCACTCTATTGGTGATAATCTAATGTGGGTCAATGTGCAGGTACTTAAAGGATATCCTCCATCGAACCGATCGAGCAATGATCTATGTCTTCATTGCCGCTTCATACTTTCCTTGGTTAATGCTTGGCCCCGTAGCATCTGATGGTATAGGTTCTCACCTATGGTGGTTGATATGGGTCCTAGCGTTTTGCGGCATTCTGTACCAACAATTATTCCATGAACGGTACAAAACCCTTGAAACTATCTTCTACTGTTTCATGGGCATAGCTCCTGCAACAACTATAATGCCAAAGGTTTGTCTGCTAGAAGTATCACCGTTAAGTTGTGTGTTTTTTTTCTTTTGGTTTTTATACCATTGTTTGTTCTTTCAGGATGATTTCCATGGATTGACAGAGTTGAAACTTGGTGGGCTTATTTACTTGATTGGGGTGTCATTTTTTAAATGTGATGGGCGCATTCCCTGTGCTCATGCCATTTGGCATTTGATGGTGGCATGGGCTGCTGCCACTCATTACAATGCTGTCCAGAAATACCTGTACCCATAGACAGGAAAGTTTGTCTATCACTACATGGCTCTCTTATATTAGGCATTGTTTATGTTTTTGTTGTTTTATTATGAGTTGACACGTTTACTCTAAAAAGAGAAGCATGTTCTAGTACACCCATGTTGTTGTATAGGGGTAACATTTATCTCTAATTGACAGTGTTTATATTTGCTCTCTGTGTTAGTGGCCAATTGCATGTGTTTGTGCATTGAAAAATCTAGTTTTGTTTCCCCTGTAAGCATAATGTAGTATTGCCAAAAAATATCAAACAAATACCTTGTTAACTCCTGGTGTTTTCAATGCCAATGATTATCATTCCATGTGGTATTAGTTGTAGTGAAAAAAAAAAGTTTAGTTATACTTAGTTATTGATTTTTTTTTTAAAGACGAGGAGTGTATATGTATTCTCACAGAAAGTATCACACTTTTCTGCAGCCAATCTGTTTTATGTATATTATAAATATATATATGAACGTTAGAAAAGATAAATATCATGTTTATAGATATTGTGGAAAGGTTAATTGTTATTTTAGGTTCAGAACCATTTTGAAGCAGTGAACTGTATTATTTTAGTCAGTGAATGTGTGGCCTAATACTTGACCATGTGTCATCAAACTGTGTGTCATATATAGTCAGATGGTCTCAATTTGTGAAGGGGAACATGGCGATAGCTTGTGTAGAATTTTTCAAGAATTTAATGGTAAGCGATAGTCAACCATGTATTAAAAATACTCATGTTCCCTTTTGAAATGTATGAAAATGTATTACAATCATACTTCTGTGTAAAGTTGGTACAATATCTTCTTTTGGTGAAGATTAATCCCTTAAGCAGCTAGTGTGTTATCTCTTTTTTAGTTACCATGAGCATTTCCTGTGTTTAAATTAACTAACCAACATTATGGGTATGTAGTAAAGTGTTTGTTGTCCGTAGGTGTCCTGAGTTGTTCTAAGGTAGGAAGGAAAGAAAATGACTATACTCTTACTTTTTCTTGGTTGTGATACAGTGGTGTTCGCAGAGATTGGAGTGGGTGTTAAAAAAAGGGAGAAGGGATGGGGGATGTTCCCTTTCCCTTTTAGCCAAAGTGTTCCTTGGAAGGAAGCCAACTTTGAGATATGATCAGCCTGAATGTAGGTAAAATGCAAAACTGCCCTTTCTGTAATTTCTGTGCTTGTCACTGTTGTGATGACTTTTGTTTAAGACATAGAGTGCCAATATTTTGCCTTTTCTTTCTCCATTTCTCTTATCTATAGTTAAAGCGAATTACATATACAACTAAAACAGAAGGCTACAAGAATATTTCAAATTCTGAATTCATTTGTGAGTCTTGTCTCAAGACCGAACAGAATAATTTGAGAATGATGTCATTTAGTGCCAATTAGGAAAAAACAATTGAACAATATTTTAGTATGTGTCTGAACAGTGAGTGTGTTCAAGTAGTCCTAAAACTACTTCATGTATTGGTTTTTCTTTTTTGACTGATCTGTCGGTCCTCTTCTCCAATTCAATGTCAAAGGGTACTACTGAACATTAAATTTACCTTGATTATAGTATAGGTCCAATATTGACACTAACTTGCAGTGCTATGATTGGGGAGCAACTTTGAAGTGTACCTGTGCAAGACAAAAACATTCTTCCTAAAATTTGAACTTTTTAAAATCCCTGGAAGACAAAATGTTTTCTTTTTGACTAATATTTAAGAGACTGGATTCTGTTATTTTGGTTTCCATGAAAGAAAAGGGGAAAAAATGGAATTAATAATAAGTTGTGTTAGTATTGTAGATTTTTTTCCTTCTTGTTCTTTATATATTCATTTGACCTTGTAATGAAGGTTAGAACAACTGATCTCCAATAATTCTAAACAGCCACGAGAACAGCTTTGTTGAATTGCCATCTGTTATTTTATAAGGTCAGTTTGAGTTGATGTTTGGATACAACATTCAGTTTTGTGAAAAAGGTTGCAAGTCTGGCGTGTGAGAAACCATTTTCATGAGCTCATTTCTTTTCTTGCCTTGTGTTTCTTTCAAGTGTTTTTCATTCACCTTAAGCTAGAAGAGGTTTATACTTACATAGATATTGATATATTGTGATCAAATCAGCTCAAATGCTTTCAGGTAGGAGAGCGTGTACTTGCTCATTGTCTGTGATGTAAAGAAAGCCATGTACCTACTAACTCAATGTTCAAAGGAACTGTTTTTGATGGTTGATGCCCTAAGTCTGTAGATTGTAACTTGTATCTGATTATGGAGGCCTACTAAACCTTTTATCTCTTTCTCTGTTGCTTTAAGTTTGTGTAAATTTATAACAAAAAACGAATATATGTGTTTAAAACTGCTGTTATAGTTTGAACCTGACATTTTTGTAGAGGAGCTTCTCACATATAGAGTTTGGGACCATTAAAAAAAATAATTGTGGATTGATTTGATTTGACCTATCAAATTTTACAACTTCATTGTAAAGGCTTGTCTGTTGGCATGGTAGATTTGCAAATTACAAATAAGATTTTTTTCCTGTTAGGATTTTGTTTTTCTTTGCGTGATGTTTGTTTTAGTCGCTTACTCAAACTTAAAAGGTCTAGAAGAGGGCCTCATGCTGAATCTCCATTCTATTTTCATTTCATTGTATTCATAAATTCAAGACCTCCCTTTTTCAACTCTTTATAAAATGGGAGCGTAGAATGTCTCCATGATCAATAGGCTTTCTCATTGATGTTCGAATTTTACTCATATGACCCAAAGGGAAAACGTGTGTGTGTGTGTGTGTGTTTGACTTTCAAAAGAATTCTTTTCACCTTTGTGGCTTTATTCTCGCTGGTCAGCTGGTATAACTTTTCCTTAAATATGCAGTTTATGGCAGGATTGTTTCACTAAATTTAAAATTGTGAATCAAGATAAGAAAAACAGTCTTTATTTCTCTTAGTAATTTACATTATATGATTATTGTATCTAAAAAGTGATGTCCTGTCTCAAGATAGGTTTCAACTGAAACGAGACAACATTATAACAAAACATATAGAAGAATAAAGAAATTGTGAGATTGAACCACAGAATGGTAGGCATGATATTATTCTCCTCTGTAAACTGGAACCCTCTTCTCCCTGAATGCTTTCAAGCCCTCTAGCCTATCCTTGGTGGGGATTAATCTGGAGTAACAAGCTTCCTCAATAAAGCATCCAGAGCTTATGTCAACCTCCATTCCTCTATTGATTGCAGCTTTAGCCATTTGTACCCCTATTGGCCCATTTGGTAGTATTTCAGATGCAATTGATAACGCTTTCATGTACGCAGCATCACCGTCTACATTCTGTTCAACAACACAATTGACGAGCCCAATGTCTAGGGCTTCCTGACCATTTAAAATTCTTCCAGTGTAAATAAGCTCTTTGGCTTTAGCTACTCCAATTATTCTTGGAAGTCTTTGGGAACCTCCAGCTCCAGGGATGATGGCCAGTTTGGTCTCAACTAAACCCATTTTCGTTGAAGCTGCAGCTGTTCGCATATCGCATGCAAGGGCTATCTCAAGGCCTCCACCAAGAGCAACTCCATCCAGAGCAGCAATGACAGGGCAGGGCAAATTCTCAATAGTATTAGTCATGAGACGTAATTTGTTGACAAAAGCACTCACTTCAGCAGGGGAAAATGTAGCTCGTTCTTTCAAATCGGCACCAGCACAAAAGACTTGAGGGACCATACTCCGCAGAATGACAACTCTGACGGCTGAGTTGAAACGAACAGAGTCCAGTGAGTCCAGCAAATTTTTGACTAAGTCTCTGCTAAGCGCATTTTTAGCCTTAGGACGATTAAATCCGAACACCGCTATTCCGCTGAGGTCTCCTTCAAGGTAAGACACCTGTAGGTTCTCTTCATCCGTCCCTTGTCTTGTTGATGAAATTCTTCGACGACACGACACTGTATGACAACGAGCTAACTGAAGCAACGTCACACCACGCACTAAATGCTTCAAAGTCATTGTTGAAAGATGCAAATGTTAAAAGATGTTTGTCAACAGATAATGATGATTCGGATGATGTCGCAAGTTTTTGGCAGCGTGGCGCATGTGTCGTCTGCAGTGTATCTTCTGCTACTTCTACTACCAACGTCAAAAAGATAAACGCGCAATGGATGGAGTTTCACAACTTGAAGGAGGCGTTACGTGATTATAACAAATATTTCAGCATGAAAAGCAATAAAACTGTAAAAGATTTATGTTTTTAAAATATTTTTAAGACTTTATCCAACTCTACTCGTTTTGTGCAATGGTTTTCTGCTGCCCCGCCCCCCCCCATCTTTTTCTACCAAAGGCGTTGCCATGGTAACTGATAGTCAAAACCTGATCAAAACATGGACGACCACGAATAAGGAACAGCGAGTAACTGTTGAATATATCTAAGTTTATTTGAAAAAACTCTTCAAATCATGTGAGACAAGTTTGAGTTTTCAGAACGTGACTTAAAACATGAAAGTTATACATAGGAGAAGTCATTATTGACATCACTTGAAATGCCCTTTCCTCGCTGAAACCTGCCATAAATGATGAAACCAAGGAAGAGCTAAATCATGTCATGACATTTGTACCTGTGCGAAATGGACAGGACAGTACCCAAGTGGCTCCAAGATTTATCAAGGTATGCTTGTGAAGGCTTGTCATTCTTACCCCATTTTGTGTTTTAGTGGGTAAATTCGAGTAAAAAAAATTCTGTCTTTGAGTGAACTCATATCATATTTCTTATTGTTACAGCAATGGGCGGCAATTGCAACCATCGTCTGCCGAAGGAGCTCTCACAAGTACTCATTTACGGTGAGTAGATTTTACAACCTGTTGTGCCCAAAAGCATTTTGCCATAGTTTTTCTTCAAGCTTTGTTCAAATTTGGACTCGTTTTTCAAGGCCTGATGGTGAAACGTTGCTTTCCCTTCGAGGAGATTCTGCAAGACATGGTCGGAGAGCATCATCATCCGCAGGAAACAGCCCTCATAGTCCTTTAAGTCCGAATAAATTTCGCAATGATATACGTCTTGGACAAGAGAGCTCCAGAAGAGAAAGGCTACGTGGTATACGTGCTGACTGGGATAAATTATCACTACAAGATTTGTGGGATAAGCCCAACAGAAGCAGGTGGTTGCATAGTCTAAGGTCAGGAAAGTCAGTTGAGGATGATAGAACAGATCAACTTACCTTAGCAAGAAATAGCTGGGCAAGTCGATCAGCAGAAGTGGATGACAGAAGACCTCAGGTTCCTGCACAGCTGGATACATTTCATCATTCTACCTTTGCGCAACAGGCTCTTGAAGAATCCTGGAATGTCCTGCATACTTTTAATCAGAAACAAAGAGGAAGACTAACCATCACAGCCACTGATCAGGGTCAGTTTACTTTAATTTTCCTTGTCAAAAACTGTTGTTTTTTCATTTAATATCATTATACTCTCTGTATTAAGCAGATGCTGACCTAAAAGATGATAGCCCATTAGACTGGCCTATAAGCCATCTGGATCGTAGGAAATCTACTGCCAGTGAAGGGCCGGACCCGAGGCGTGATTTAACACCATCTCAATCTCCCAGAGATTTTATCATTCCTGAACTTCCTTCTGGTAGTAAACTCACCATTGATGTACTCAGTACATGGGGTGATCGACACTATCTTGGCTTGAATGGTATTGAACTGTTTACAAGTGATGGTCTACCACCCGAAGTTGCTCATGTAAGTCTTTTCTAACAAACAAGTGATCTTATTCATTAACATGTCGTCTTGTTTTTCACACGTTTGAGTGAATTTTATTCCAGATTTGGGCCCAGCCAGCAGACATTAATGTTCTTCCTGAGTACAATGGAGATCCACGCATTGTCAAGAATCTCATCGATGGAGTTAATCGCACAAGAGATGATTTACACCTGTGGCTTGCGCCATTCACACCTGGTGCCCATCATTACATAAATGTGGACTTCTCTGTCCCATATACTATTGCAATGTTACGAATATGGGTATGTAATAAATGACACTAAAGATGCCCCTTTTGGAAAATGTTTGCAGACTTCACTTTATTCTTCTGTTTTTCAGAACTACAATAAATCACGTATTCATTCATTTAGAGGTGCCAAAGATGTAGAGATATTTCTTGATGGTGTACTTATTTTCCGGGGAGAAATTGCACGAGCTTGTGGTACTATACAGGGAGGTACTGATGCATTTGGTGATGTAAGTGTCAGCAGTTCCGAACCAGAACTATGTGTGTTTTACCCAGGAATCTTCATGTTCTATCTTTTTTTATGTGATTGGATTATCTTCCAGACAATTCTGTTTACAACTGATGATGCTATTCTAGAACTAATATCAAAATATGATAAGTCATTTGACAGTAATGTATCATATCATCATGGTAATATTTCATCAATTCAACCATTTGAGCGTCCTCCAACTGCTGATTGTTCTGTTAGTAAAAACCGTTTCGTGTCTCTTTATGTCCATAGTTTCCTCTGCAGAATTACATTATTATGAAACATTTTATTTTCATGTTTCCTGTTTAGGAATCTAGTAGACCTTTCACTTCATCAGTGCCAGGCAGTGGATCAAATGATATTGAAGAGGTTTCTCAGTGGGGCTCAAAGAAAAAAGTTAAACAGCAATTGGATATTTTCCTGTTAAGCAATTGGGGCCACCCATCAACCATAGGTAAGTATTGTTAACTAATTGCTCAAATTTTAAGATTTTTTATTGTTCTAAGTTGTAAAAAAATAAAATAACAACACTAAAACAACCTTTCTTTAGGGCTCACTGGCCTTGAGATAATGGGATCCTCTGGTGCTCTGATTCCAATTTCTCCTCAAGACATTCAAAGTGAAGACAATCCTAGTCATATTTACAGGTTTGTACCAGGGTTCTATTCCTGTATTTTAAAAGGAGGGAATATTTAGTGAAATTAATCTCTAGTTTGTTCCTTTTGCACTTAACATGAATATAAATTTATTTTCTCACAGGTTGCTTGATGGGGAAAATTGGACTATGGACTCTTCTCACATGTGGAGTGCAGATTTCAAATCGCACCCTGTTGTGCTTTCTATCAGGATTGGAGCAGAGCACCAAGTCTCTGCCGTTCAAGTTTGGAACTACAATGCATCACCAGATTTTACCTCATGCGGGGTGAGTATCTATTGATTTCAGCACAAGTGCGGCACCCATTGTTCATTTCAAATTTGTTACCTTCTTGCTTTTTTATTTCAGGTGAGGGAAATTCAGTTGAGAATTAAAGGCAAATTCAAAAGTGGTGTCTTGACTGTACGTAGAGCTCCTGGAAATTTACACTACAATTTTGGACAAATTTTGCGCTTGGAAAAAGGAAGCATGCTAGAAGGAACTAATTTTTCTCACTCTCCGTCATGTATGTTGCTTTTATGTTCTCAACCAACTAAACAATTTTTCAGAAACCAAGAAGGGCTGCATATGAATTATTTCTGTTACAGTAGTCTTACCCAACATGCTTGAAGATGAGTATGAACATACTGGTGTCCCTACTGGTACCTTGTTTACATTACTTATTTTTTCTACCTGGGGTGACCCATATTATGTTGGTCTCAATGGTATTGAGCTTTATGATGCTGATGGGTATCGAATATCATTAGGACATCACAGTCAGTTTCAAAAATATTTTATCTATCGAGAATTATTCTTTTCAATATTTTACATTTACTAACAAGCTCCCAACTTTTTTCTCCTTTTAACTCTGTTCTAGATATTGGTGCCCATCCTGAAAGTGTGAATGTCCTTGAGGGTTCTGCAAGAGACGTTAGAACCCCAGATAAGCTCATCGATGGTGTCAATGAGACTCTTGACGGACGTCACATGTGGCTTGCTCCTATATTGCCTGGAAAGGTATGGAGAGTCAAGTGTGTTCTTTCCTTCATTATTTTTATGATTGCTACTTGTCATCTTTTACTTGCATTTCAGATAAATAGGATTAATATCATGTTTGAGACAGCTATGACAGTTTCAATGTTGAAACTGTGGAATTATGCCAAGACACCAAGTCGTGGAGTTAGAGAATTTGGTGTAAGTATATTAAAATACCAGTGATGAAACACAAGCCTTTATGAAGTAGCATTGATTCAAGACTAATATGATTTTCAGGTTTTGGTTGATGATTTACTTATTTATAATGGAGTTTTGGATTGTGTTGATGGAAAGAGAAGTAATGTGCCTTATAGAAGTGTGATATTTTCCGCTGACCAAAGTCTTTTGGCTAGAGAAGCAGAAACACAGACTCGGTAATTTTATCATCTAGCTAAGTAAAAATTGACACAGAGAAGTGTGTATGGAAATTTCACCTTCTCTTGTCTCTTACAGGAGGAGCTCTCCAGTCAGCCCAAGGCTTCAAGCGACCTCCAGTGGTCATTCTCAATCTGCAGATCAGTCCAAAAGACCTTTTACATCCCTGCAGCACCGCACGCAGCCGGGCACGTATCAATCTTCATAGCCGAATATTTTGTGATATTTTTAATTTCAAACTTTTTGTATTTACTTATTTTATATCATCTTTTAACTAACAATGAGTGGTGCTGCATTTTGCATAGACTTATGTGGGTGGAGTGTGGGTATCAAGAATTGCCTTTTTACTAGACCATGTGTGACTTTCTGGCCATACAATAGGAAAGTGCAAAAATCACCTGTAAAAGGGTACACATCATTTTTGAATCATATAGACACAGCCTCTTTAAATCTTCAAAAGAAATAAGTTGACTGCTTAGTGTTATTGTAACAATATGCCAAACTTTTTCATTCAGAAAATGTGGGCCAATGATGGTTGTATACAAAAGCTTTCTAATGATTTTTTTAAAAACAATATTCCATGATCCAAGACTCTTTGATTTTTTTACCTGTTATTTGTGATTGGAGTTCAAAGGAAATTTTTCCTGCACTGCCCAATCACTTTGCATTTTGTGATTTTATGTGGGACCAACCACCTTTTTATTCCAAATAAGGCTTTTGACCAATGACAGCTTGCAAGTTTTTGCAAGTCAAACTAGATTTTTTTTGTGTGGTGTTTCTTTATGTGGCACATTTTTCGTTTATAAGTATAGTTATGTGGCTGGACCACTTACGCATTGCATATCCATAAAGAGGAGTATTAACTAATTACAAACTCTGTAAGTACTTTTTAATGTATATTTAATTCACTTATTTATATTTCACAATTACTGCCTTATTATGATGAATGCAAGACCATTGATGCTTCAACATAGCTTTCTTTTTTCGAATTTCATGACTATGTAAATCACTGCTTACTAAGCAAATAAAATCAATTGACAAATATTCATTACAGCTGAAGAAAGAATATGATTCTTTACATAAATAGAACTAGTTGAATAACAAGTGCAGTGAAACATTTTGACACAAAATGAACTCTCATATCTTGCAAAGCACATTTCATACACCGTCTACTACCTCCGCCCTACAATATCTTGTATTATCTGCTGTTGTGAGACTTGCCATGTTTCTTGGTCTTTGAACTGAGAATACGTGGTTTATCCTCATAAGTGCAACAACTGACCTGAAAAAAAAAAAAAAAAAAAAGAAGGGCAGAAATTAGGCAGATTGTCCAGGGTTGGGTCTAGGCAGCAGCCTTTTTTTTACCTCGTGATTTGGATGTTTTACTGCATTGCAGCGCACTGGGCACTTGTGGCCACATTTCAATGACACTGGGCATTGGTTAGGACAATATTTGTGAGAAACTGAAGGCATCCAGCATTGTAAGTTTACAGAATGTGAACATGGGTGCATGAGCTTTTTCACTGTGACCTGTGTGAAGTGGAGAAAAGAATTACTTCAAGTTGATACTGGTCTAATTTCTAAATCTGTACAGTACTACTGTTTGCATCTCACTTCACAGAGGTATTTGCTGGGTTCCACACTGCACCTCATCACTGCCCAGTGCCCGCAAGCGAGGTGCTTCCAGTCCATGCACTCACACTCCCCACACTCCTCAAAACATAGCTTGTTGCATCTGTGACCAAATGCGCAGGTCTTGTCACAGGGCTCCTCACACCTTGAATGAAAAAGGAATGTGTTAGTCATGAACTTTCTAAGACTTTGAGTCATTAAAATAATTGAAACGTTACAGCACCTGAATTTCAAATGCAAAGAATCATTAGGGTGACACTTTCTGCGGCAAAGATGGCCACAGGCCAGTTTAAAGGAGCAGGTTTGTCGACATACGTATTTGGGGATGTCATCAGGCTTACAAACATTTCTTTGCTTCTGTGGATGCCGGCTACAGCTTAATGGAATGGACTGACCAACCATTGAATTTAATTTTAACACCTTATGAACTGACATCCACAATTCACTGTTACTTGACAGCAATTGTACATTACCTAACATAAATAGACCTGAAAGGAAAATTTACAAAGGAATGTTACCCACTGATAAATAAATTCAATAGGGTTGCATGTTTAAGGCTGCAAAGTAGAAATCTCTTATGAATCTAGTAACTTACCATCGCGTGCTCGGGATAAAGCTACACAAACACGATTCTCAATTTTAAGAAATCCAATTTGATTTTCAGAGTTGTTGCGAACAAGAGATAAAATGACAATTTTACTTTCTTCTCCTTGAAAATTGTCCACAGTGAGACATCGTATGCCAGTTAGTTCAGGGTACATGTTGCAATTCTGCAAAATTCGAAATCTATGCAAGGGTGTCTTTTTGGCGGAAATACCAAGATTTAAAAAATACTCACAGACTCAAGTTCATTCACTTGTTCACGGTATGCTGCTAGAATGCAAATATCATCTGAATTATACTCTTCCCTTAGTAGGTACCTTACTAGTTGCACAGCCATTTTGGCCTCTTCAGGATTGCTGTAACTTCCAGTGAGCAGATTCTGAGAGGAAAATGTGCAAAACACACTAGTTAAGAGATGAAAAGATGCAATTTTGACTTTGCATAAAAGTACGATACCTTTTTTTCCTGCCACCGATGGGAGAAAAAGAACACATTTTTCTTGATGCCTAGTATATTTTGTCTGTTTCTTGTGCACATGTGATCATACAATTGTGCATAAATACTAGGTCTAATCAAAGCTGAAATCTGAGGCTGCATACGATGCTGAGTGAGTAGTGTGTTGACAGTAACTGTTTTATTTAACAATAGCCTCTCAAACAGTGACACATCTGTAAAATGTGTTCTTGATAATGCATATGATGCTGGACGTGGTCGGAGTTGTTTGTGGTCACCCAGAAGTATCAAATGTTGACAGTGCTTTGTGATGGTAGCAACGATGTGCGTCTCATGGACCTCAGCTGCTTCCTCAACAAGTGCTACAAATAAATAAGATTTAAAATTATAGCAGAGTTTCATAAAAATTGGATTGAAAATAAAATCTGTAAACTTTTACCAATGGGACAGTGCAGTTCACATAGCACTGGGTATAATCTGGCAGCAGCTGATGTGGTCATGCCAACAATTTCAGCTTGACGCATCACCTCCAATTTCTCAAACTGCTTTAAATCAGCATAGGCAGAAGATGATGACAGATAGTGAGTTTCCAACAACTGCAAATGTGACTGCAACACATTCTCAAGGTTTTTAATCCATGACCTAAAACATACAATAGGATAAATTATAATGCACCCTCAAAAGGCAATTTTAGAGAGCAAATATCAAAATTACCTATACAAACCCCAACGATTATTGGGAGCAACTGTCCACAGACATTTCACCGTTACATGAGAATCTTCACTTGATTCAGAAAGGCAATGTTTGAAAAAGCGGATTCTTGCTTCCAACAGTTTACGATCAGGTTCTGCAGATGTATTGCTAGGCTGTTCTTTTACAGTGTTCTCATTGTCATATAAACTAATGAGATATTTTATATGAATATTCTTCATTGCGCTATACAAATAACATGAGTAAGTTATTGAGTAATATTGTTTCATTAATACCAGTATCTGAAAAACCATACCTTGAGCTGGCTTCTTCATTTAAAGAGGATGGGAAATTACTGTAAGTATTGAGTCCTTGTGACTCAAGTGAGGTAGGAGGCATCTTCTTGTGAACCAAGCAATCAGTTGATTTACCAGTGTTTCCTTCCTGCGCCAGTTGATCATCCGAAACAAAGGAAGCCTGCAAGGTACAATAGTAATCTTGGCTGTTAAGAGGAAAAATGCTAGGGCCAAATTGGAAGTGAAAAATGATATTTATCTCACCTGATCACTTTTGGCACCTTCAAGCCACATCAGGTAATTTTCTGAATTTATGAAACAGCTTGCACTTTTCAAATCCATGGCTCCCATGGTGACAAGAGTTTGAAAATCTACAATACCATAGGAAGCTACCCTCTTGAGCTCAATCTGGCAAACTTGAATGTTTGTTGACAATGTCTTCAGATCCTTTTTTAAATCTACGACAGCAGATTGTTTTCCTGCTTTGCTCCGCCTTCTTCTGAGCCATTCTCTGATATTGAAGGGTGCCAACAAGACACTTTTGGATTGACATCCAATTCTAATCACATTTCTTGACATTGGTAGAAGCAATTCCATAAATTGGTCTAGAGCATGATTAGTTTGACACATCAATAGCAAAGGCTGATTGCCGCCTTTATTCCAGACATGCTTGTTCTGCAGAAGTGCTTTAGCAACTTTGCACCCTAAGTATGTTTTCCCAGTGCCAGGTGGCCCTTGGATCAAAACCAGCTTCTCTGATAGGGCTCTCTTCAATGCATTGAGCTGAGAGTCGTTTACATCTAGCACCTGAGCATCAGGCCATGAAGCATCACTCATTACTTTAACTCTAAAATTGTCCTCTAGTGTATATTCTGTGTCCGTAAGTAGGTATGAAGGACACTCAACACCACCATTAGATCGAGAGCCCAGAATGTATTCTTTCAATGGCAAATCATCATGTGTCATGCCTTGAAAAATTTTCATGACATAATAGTAGGGCTGAAAGAAAGTCTGAGATTCGGCCAGCAACACTCTACGGTGCTTGAGAGCTGGGTCAAAATGACTTGTTCCATGCAATTGCACCATTAAAATATTGGATGGTCTTCTGTTATTCTTTCCTGGATTACGAGTTTCTCTCTGACCTGACGGAGATACAAATTTACGAGAGAATACAGTTCCAACAAAAATATCTTTAAAATGGTTGGGTGTGATAAGAACCAGAGACCCATCCATAAAGTCTTTGTCTCCTATTTTTTCACTAAGAGGAAAGCCCATATCTATTACAAGACCAAGCCTGTCCTCTTTAATGTGAGGTTCAACTACCAACACATTGTGGTGAAGTTTCAAATTTCGAACATCAACAGGAGCATTGCCTCTCCTTAGCTGTCTCCTGTACTCATTAATACCCTCCTTCAGAGGTCCAATAAAATCTTCCTTAAGCAAATAAAAATGTGTCTTCAAATAATCCTCTTCATTTTCATACAGGCCGATTAATTTGTTGGGTCTCAAGTCAAAAGGTTTTCTTGGTCCCTTTAATTCAGATTGATTGGGAAAGACACTTTCACACCGAAAATTGTGTGACAAACTTTCTACTTTTGAATTACACTCTTCCTGCCTCTCAAGATCAGCAGAAGCAATCAGATTTCGATTTTCATCCAAACATAAATCCTTTATCAAGTCAACTGATTGAATAGAAGCTAAGGCAGCATCTTGGCAAATCTGCTCATTCACTGCATCTTTTGGTTCTGATTCACTGCACCCCTCATCAAGAGGCTGTACGGGGGCATTATTACAGGTGAAAAGCTCTTGCTTCAATTTGATGATTTGAATGGATGAAATGCCAAGTTCATCCGTTTGTTTATCATTTTTATCTGAACTCTCACACACACATCCATTTTTCGCTTCATTATTAAAACTAAACAAAGGCACAGTTTTTGACCTGAATCTTTGCATTACAGGCCTATTATGCTCAGAAATAAAACAAATGTCACCTTCTGTAACATTACTGTCATCAGCATGTAAGATTTTTCCTTGAGTACATTTTAACTTTGGATCCTCCAGGCAGAATTCAGAGTCTTTGATTTTTATCTCTGCTAATTTTGATCTTAGATCTTCTAATTCTTCTTCGGTTACAGTGCGAGGCTTCAGGAAACTCTTCTTCAGCTTATCACAAACAGACTCTGAACCAAAATAGCTGTCAGTGCTCAAACTCCTCTGTCTACTGTGCAAATTTGCAACCCACTTTGCAGTCCTTAGTGATCGGTCAACAAACTCATACAGAAATGTTCGTTCCTTACTAACAGAGCGTTTTGGTTTTGAGACGTAAGCACTATCAGAGCTGCCCAGATCAAAATGGAGATCTTGAAGCAGAGTCTGCGAATTCATGATATAAAATAGACTGCAAAAATAAGGAAGATTTCCAAAATGAAACCACAGTAAAGTTACAAGGTGGACAGTGAATCATTAAATCATTGTCAGCCAACTGATCAGTGACAGGTCAAATGGGATCACTCGCGTTGACATGCCAAAGAAGCAACCAAACACCGCTGACAGCAACGATCGAATGCTAAAGTCTAGGGGAATCATCGCATTGCTTACCTATTAATGATGTGGATTTAAAAACTTCATTCAGAATAGCTCATTTCCGCGAGGCACCAAAATGCCTCGTTGTGCCTTCTGCGATCGCTGGTCCGCCACCACGATCCGCAAGTTTTCTGCACTTGCTAACCAAACTATCCAGTAAATACCTATAAAATTTTCATTTCAAAGAAACAAAAACTACGATAAGTCCGAGGTATCCGCGGACAAATAGATTCAAAATTTAAAAAAAAAAAAAATAGTTCACGTTACTTTCTTGACACTGGTCGTCGTGACTCGGGACTCCACAGGTTGTGTTGAGGATTGCCTATCTTTCAGGATGCTCGCAGGGTTGGAAGTTACCGGAAACAAAGGAAACAGAAAAACGGGAAATGGTAAACTTTGATGTAGTTTAGAGTGTTTGTAGAAAAGAACAGAAAGGTTTATAGAGTATTGTTACAATGCACCACGTTTAAAAAAAGTTGAAAGTTGAGTAGATTTGGGACCTGTAACAAATAGTTGCATTTTCGTTTCCCCATTTACTGCAGTTCAAATAGTGCCGGAAATGAGGACTCATGCCAACTGTACAAACGTTAAATTTCTATTATTCTTGTAGATATTATGCTAGACAGTGGCTTTGCTTGTATGATTTTTTTAATGCATACAAATCCATATTTATAGATTTGTAGAAAATGTTCAGTGATAAATTGCTTTTGCATAGTGTGGTCGTGTTGTTTGACTAAAAACATTGGTAGACACGGTGACAGCGGAGTAGTACGGAACTCCATCTGTTTCGAAACAAATAGCTCCACGAAGTAGTCCTTTAAGTTGTTCATTTTTATGAGCAAAATACTAAGAAAGTGATACAATTTAAATTCATTTCCTCTCATATCTTATAGCGTTCTTACAATCCTTAGCTTTCTCGGCCTCGGTAGTGGCAGTGAGTCGGAGTGGGGCAAAATCCTTCTACCCCGATTAAAGACTCGTATGAAAAATTTCGAGGTCGTGTGTGTTGTCTGCTTCTGCTGTTGTTTATTTAGATGTTGCCATGTGGTTTACTTGTCTTTATGTGAATGGAGCCTTAAGTTTTATTTCAGCTGAATAAAGTATTATTGTCGCGCATACTTTTTGCCTCAGAAGCAAATGACAACTTTTAGTTCGAAGTTCTCACACAATGTTAACTAAACCTAACCTACGTTGTTTTAGTACGTGCAGAACTCTTTTCAAAGAAACGCCCACTAATTTAAAAGGTCGCAAGAAAAGTTCTCAGGAATGGCTTACAAGGCAGCTTAAGGATCCATATGTGGAGAAATCAAGACTTGAAAACTACAGGTATTAGTACGATGTTTCATTTTACATTGGTTTCAGTTTTAAAATGACTCTTTCCCTTTGCAAGTTGTTCGTTTGTTTATTTTGTTTTCTTAAGGAGTCGAAGTGCATTTAAGCTGATCGAAATTGATGATAAATTTAAATTCTTGAGACCTGGAAACATCATTATTGATTGCGGGGCGTCTCCTGGAGGCTGGACACAAGTGGCTGCCCAACGCTGCAATGCCGATGGAAAAGGTAACTGACTACTTGTAATTAATTGCGTCAATAAGAAACTGTTTTGTCTTTTTTAAAAGTGAGGTTTCATTGATGGGCTTTTCAGATACTAATAGTGACATTGGGACAGTGGTCGGCATTGATTTGATAAGGATTCATCCCATTCCTGGAACAATATTGTTGAGTCCCATGGATTTCACCAAAGTCAGCACCCAGGAAAAGATTCAACAATGTTTGAATGGAAAGCCTGTAGATGTGCTCATGAGTGACATGGCTCCAAATGCCACAGGTGTTGCAGTGTTAGATCATGAAAGAATAATCGATTTGGTTGTTCAGGCTTTACGATTTGCTCTTCAAGTGTCTAGGCCAGGAGGTTCCTTTCTAGCCAAAATTTGGAATGGAGCTCAAATGCAAAATCTCATGAATGAATTAGAGCGTTTTTACCAAACAGTTCATATTGTAAAACCTCCAGCTAGTCGTAAGGACTCAGCTGAAATTTACTTCTATTGTCAGGGCTTTAAGGGTTTGAAGGCTCGTCCTTCACAATAGTTACTAGAGCTGCATTTTAATTTCTGTTTGTCTTGTTCTCTGTCAACTATTTTCTTGTAAAAATATAGAAATGACTGAAACAGCCTTACTTTCAGACCATTTTTTTAATGTCTTTAATGAGCAGAGAGTAAGAGAGAAAGAAAAGAGCAAGTTGTTACTAAAGATTGATGAAGTAATGGTGATATGTTCGAATCCCAATTTATTTTTCAGAACTTATACAATGGTAAACCTATACATGTAACATTTTTCATACTACTATAATACTTCTGATAAGATTTTCATTAATCAAACGTAGCAGCTGAGAGGAAAAAAACAGTGAATGAAGATTTTTAATAATATGGTATAATGCTTTGGGTTCTTCTGTGGAAGACATTGTAAACAAATGCAAAAGTACCTAAGAAAGGCAGCTGATAAACTAAAGCTGTTTTACCAAAGTAATCCATGCCAGATAAAGGGGAAAAGGATGGAGCTGGATCTCTATTTATCCAGTTCAATATGGGAGTAGATTTGTTTCACACATATCACATAGTTTCAGAAAACTTCTTGAGAGAACTACATTAAGGATTATCCAGTATCTGCATAGAATCAATGCCACAATAAGCTTTAAGGTGGAGGTAAATTTAGTTGTGCCCATAAAATATTTTCCTAGTCTGCCAGCAGAATCATGTTTCACGTATACCACACCGCACATACACAGTATAGGCCCTATGCGAGAGAAGAAAAAGTTAACAATAACGCTGCAGTATGCCTAAACACCCATTTCAATAAAACCAACACAAGTAATGAATGAGACTACGAATAATGAAGTCACATGATGTGCCACTCCTTTGAATCTAAACATGAAATTTTCTGTTACCATGGCTTGCATCATTTTTATTTATTGTCTAGAGCACTTGAAACTGTCTTGATTTCCTTTCATTGTAGACAGGAAATTTCTTTATGGGCACATTTTATACCTCTGCCATGCGATATGTAACTTGGTTCTGACAAAGTGATGATAATGATGGGTACTTCTGCTCTGCACATCAATCAAATAATTTTAAGATAATGTCAGACTGAGAAAAACAAAAGATATGTGGGCTTAAAAATGATGATTAGGTATTAGCTTAAAGTTATCTCAACCTCTTTTTAATCCTCAAGCGTATCACTCTATATCTCACTCACTCTTTGGATAAACACACACACATTGCATAAAAAAAACTGAAGCAGTCTAAGAAAAAAAATAACAAAACAAAATTCTATGCAATGATGATGTAAGAAAGCAGTAAGAATAATAACTGTAACAATTTTATCACTGACATCTAAATTTCAGAATTGTGAAAAACTTTCTTCATCATACATTAGGCCAGCAAATTTTCATTTTGTTTGATGTTATTTCCCCTATTTCCAGTTTTCACAATAATTTTCCTTTAAAAAAAAAAAAATTGAGTATGTGATAACTTTAGTAAATTCCTAATTGATGTCCCTGTGCTACATGATTGCAAATAGATCAATTAATACCCTTTTTGTCTTTTTGTCTCAACAATAAACAACAAAGTTGCATTGGCTTACACAAATTACGAAAGCTAGAGGGATCATTACAATAGTTTTCCTTTTTACAGATATTTTTGAAAATGGTACATAGAGTTTTTGATAGATACGTTGTAACAAAGTGACTTGATAGACAGCTTTTTCTAAGCGTTTTGGAGGTGGCCCACTAAGCAAGGAGCTACAGGAATTTAATCACAGGGGCAATACAAATTTGTAGGATATGAGATTTGGATTTGATGAGAGCCTCTCCCCCATATCTCTCTTCCCTTTTCATTTTCGCACCTCTTTCTCACCCTCTCTCTCTCTCTCTCTCTCTCTCTCTCTCTCTCGCCCACACAGACACACAACACTAACGCACTTTCTCGCACCCTCTCTACATCTCTGATTGGTGAGGCACTTAAATGGTGCAGGAGCACCGTGGGGGGTTTCAAGGCGACGATCGACCCTACTATCTAGTTCCACCGCCTGGGTCATTTTTACTATTTCTCTCTCGCTCGCCCTTTCTCTCTCTCCCTTTCTCTCGCACACGCACGCAAACTCTCACGCACATTCTCTCACAACACGCACACAGCCACACATTGTTGACGGGGCGACGCGCCGCGTGTCACAGAGGTGGTCGCTGTGTCGCTGTCGCGCAGGGTGGAGGTGGTGGCGGCTGCCCGTCTAGAAGCTGTCCACGTCGAACATGTCCAGGCTGCTGGCGGGCTGGTACACGTCCTCCTCCTCGCGCACCGACAGGCAGTCCTTCGGCGAGCACGTGACGCGGCCCACGGGGCTGCACTCGCACTGCAGGCAGGACCCCGTGTCGCGGGGGAGCACCTCGCCCACCCGGTAGCTCGATCCTGGAGAAGGCAGACCAGACGGGGAACGTGAGAGGGGCTGGAGTCGGAGTGGCTCACCTACGCTCCTCCGTTCTGTCTCTCTCGCACTCTAGCGGCACGCCTCTTAAGTGTGAGAGAGACAGCGGAACCGCACCGGGGACTGCCGCGCACGCCATCCTCGCCGCAGGGCGCCTGGCAGGTAGGCAGTCCCGGACGCAGCCCTGTTCGACGGGACCGCATAGCCAGCACGGGGCTCGCCGTTGACGTGAGGCGTGGCGTACGTACCCAGGACGTGGCACATGAGCTCGGTGGTGGTCGGCACGCTGGTGGTCGTAGTGTTGGCGGCGCTGGCGGCGCTGGCGGCGGTGGACGCGGCGTGGCCGTCGTGCACGCTGCCGTTGTTGTCGGGCCCGGTCGCCGCGGAGGCCGCTTCCGTACCGGAGCTGGCAGGTTGATCGCCTGAAAGGGAAAAACGTTTCGCATTAAAAACTGAAAACGGTTAATTTTTCATGGAAGTTGTTTTCTTTACTACCTAGTCCGGGGACGGCGGGCTGCGGGTTCGTCGTGGGGTCCTGCAGTGCGCCAGTCGTCTGCAGCTGCTGGCCCTGCTGGCCCCTCGACGGCGAGGTGGTGTCCGTGGCGGCAGGCGGCGTGGCGGAGACAGTCGAGGTTTCATTCTGGGAGGCATCTGGAAAAAACAAACAAAAGGAAGTGAGGGAGGGGGTCGCGGAATTCGTACACGCGCCCTCCAGGCCCCACTCCACCCACCGTCGCTCTCCGCGGAGGCCTGCTCGGTGGCCGAGGTGGCGGTGGCCGAGGCGGCGGTGGCGGTGGCGTCGTCCTGGCAGCTGCTGAAGGCGGGCCGGCCGCGGCACGGGCCCTGCGCCGTGGAGGGCGGACAGTCCTGCCACCAGCAGAACACCTCGCCGTCCAGGCACACGCAGAACTCGCACGGGTCGGACCGCGTCACCTGGAGACAGAGAGGGAAGGCTTTACGAGGGCCGGCTTCACTTTTACTGGCTCTCTTGCGGAACACCGAAAGGGAGTACCACTCGGGCTGCGGCTAATCCACGGTCTGCTCTGATCCTTAAGGGGCGACCCGCCACCCCGCTATACCTGTTGGGACTGCCGGGATGAGGATCAACTTCCCCGTGAGACCCCGCCCCTAACCTCGCCCAGCTCTTGGCCCAGCCCCCTCCCGCCTTCGTGTCGCTTATCAGGCATCGCAGACAATCGGAGGCCTCATATTGGATTCCGAAATGGTGCTGAAGGAAAGTTGGAGTAGCGGCTTGTCACGCCACCCGTTCCCGTTCCCGCCAAACTCGGCGGCGCGGCGGCGCATGCGTGGACAGTTTTGGCGGGAAGGAGGCGGCGCCGCTTCTGGGGACAATGCCGCGCCGGATTCCCTCCCTTCGTACACAGTGTACACAGGCTAATCCGGCCTGCGCTCTCCGAATGATGGGAAATTCAGTTGGCCGGCAACAAAGGGAAGGACAAGTTCAGCACTACTGGGGGAGAAAAAGAAAGAAAGAGAACGAACGAACACACGTACGCGTTGCGTTCATCGCTCGCTTTCATTTTGGGCGGGAAGGGCAGGGAAGGGGTGCAGTGCACAAAGGGCCTTTCAAGCGCAGAGCGACGCAAAGTGCAAAAGGAACTTGCAGAAAGCTGGCTGCTCTCGCTGCTCTCGCCATTGTCGGCCCATTATTTCATCAAAGATCCGCGTCCTCTTTGGGTCACGCTGCCGATCGGTCCGACGGGCCGGGCTGGGCCGGGCCGGCATGCCTGTCTGCACTGCCGCCAATTTGGCGCCTTTTTCCCTCTCGCCCCGCCTCGCCCCGCCTCGCTTCCAAATGCCGCATGGGTCCCTTCTCGTTTTTTATTCACCCGTCCGGCGAATATGGAACGGTACCCTTCCTTTTTCGCCCCCCTGATCCAACTGCCGCGCCCGTCACGCCGAGCCGCGCGGAGCGTCGACAAGGAAACGAAAAAATAATAAATAATAAAACCCCGGCGGGCCGCTCCGCGCTCCGCCCGCCGTGCCGCGCTGCCGATTGGACTATCAAATCAGCTGATTGGCGAGCGGCGCGCGCCGCCATCCCCCGCCGGAGGTCGCGCCGCGCCTAGGCCGTCAGGGCCGTCAGGGCCGTCAGGCCGTACGCGTGTGCCCCTCGGCCGCCCTGTCTCTCTCGCACCCCATGTGTCGCGGCACGAGAGCTAGAGGGAGAGAGAGAGGGGGGAGAGAGACATAACCCCGGTCGGAATGAGCCTGCCGCGACGCGAGGCCTGCCTGCCAATCAGTGCAGGCTCCCCGGCGACGTCGGCGACGGCCTTGGCGGCCTCGGCAGAGGTTCGCGACGATTGTCAAGTCCAGGATGAGAAATCCGGCGCGCCGCAAAGAACCCCATCCAACTACCAGGCCGCGGCGGTGGGAACGCTCGCAAGGCGCGCCGCGAAATTAGAAAAGTAGGCGGGCCGCCGAAAGGCCTAAGGGGCTGGGCTGAGTGGGGGCCGCCGCCGCGGAGGGGGCCGCCTGCCTAGGCAGCACAGCCAGCCGGCAGCCACGCCTATCCGTCTTACGCCTTCTTAGCCTAATGCCGCGTGGCAAAGTCTCTCGGAACAAACTCCGGCACGGTTTGAGAGGCGGGGCGGGCGGGGCGGAGCGCACACAGACAGCGAACATCCCAAGGCAATGATCGGGACGAGGAAACGCGGACCGGGCCTGTTGCTGAGGCAGGCCGGCAAGGCGGCATTAGAGACCTAGAGACTGACGGAGAAGCGCGGGCGCCGATAAGCGCACCAACAGTTTCTCATACTCCCCGCGCGCGGCCGGAGAGCTGTCTCATATTCCAGACAAAATGGCGGCCCACGCACTTAACGGCTGGAGAAGGTTTTTCGGTCACAGCTTCCAAACCGTTCTAGATAGAGGGGTATAGTAAGCGAGCCGATTGTAGGTCTCTGTACAAGCTACAATCGGCTCGCTTACTGTACCACTCTAACTTGAACGGTTTTCGAGCTGTGGCCGAAAAACTGTTCGGTCTGTCTGCTGCGCTCCGCCTGGCCCCACCTTACCGCACCGCTCTCCGTTCCGCTCCCTGTCCCCTCCCCGCTCCCCTCTGGGCCGGCCCAGACAAAATGGCCGCCAGCGCGCGACGGCGCCCGCGCTTCTCCGTCAGCCTCTAGGTCTCTAGGCGGCATCGGGCGGCACCGCCACTGGGAGGGAGGGCCGCCGTTGCACCGCCTTGTACGCACTTTACAAAAGTTTCCTTTTGTAAAGGCCGCGCCAACGCTTTTAGCCCGAGTGCACTGCGACTAAAACACTACACTCCCCGGCACGCCTCTCCAATATGCAACGCCCAAAGTTTGTGCTCGGCCGCTTCGCCGCTTCGCCGAGGCAGATGATTGTGCGTTCGCCGCGCTCGCCAGACGCAGCCAGACGCACGGCCCACAAAAGGGACGCTGATGCGCGACGCTGGAAATGCGCGCCGGCAGACTCATTCCGAGAGTCGCCTTCGTCGCTCTGTCTCTCTCGCACTCACGGGGCGTCCCGCACAGGTGCGGCATCTCGGAATCAGTCTACTGAGCCACGTTTTGCTGGTTTCGCCGGCAGAGATGGACCGTAGCGGTGGAGATACAATGGCGTGGCGGCGAGCGCGGCGAGGGAAGGCCATTAAAAGCCGAAGCCCGAAGCGAAGCGCGCTGCGAGCGTGGCGCCACTGTAGCGCCATGGTAGCGCCAGCGCAGCTCCGGATAAGGGATGGCAAGGGGTGGAAAACAATAAACCATACCTTGCTCACGAAGCCCTGCTCACGGAGCTCGCTCGCACCCTGGAGGCTGAGGAGCCTCGCTCTCGCAGCCCCGCGGACCCCCGTTTAGCGCGATGCGAAGACGGGGCGACGAACGGCTCTTCGGAACCAGCCTGCTGGGACACTGCGCACTCCACTCGCGTCGCGACCCTGGAGGCTGAGGAGTCCTCTGCTCTCTCGCAGCCCCGCGGGACGCCCCGTTTAGCGCGAATGCGAGAGACGGGGCGACGAACCGGCTCTTCGGAACCAGCCTGCTGGGACACTGGCGCACTCCACTCGCGTCGCGACCCTGGAGGCTGAGGAGTCTCTCGCTCTCTCGCAGCCCCGCGGGACGCCCCGTTTAGCGCGATGCGAGAGACGGGCGACGAACGCTCTTCGGAACCAGCCTGCTGGGACACTGGCGCACTCCACTCGCGTCGCGACCTGGAGGCTGAGGAGTCTCTCTCTCTCGCAGCCCCGCGGGACGCCCCGTTAGCGCGATGCGAGAGACGGGCGACGAAACGCTCTTCGGAACCAGCCTGCTGGGACACTGGCGCACTCCACTCGCGTCGCGACCCTGGAGGCTGAGGAGTCTCTCTGTCTCTCGCAGCCCCGCGGGACGCCCCGTTTAGCGCGATGCGAGAGACGGGGCGACGAAACGGCTCTTCGGAACCAGCCTGCTGGGACACTGGCGCACTCCACTCGCGTCGCGACCCTGGAGGCTGAGGAGTCTCTCTCTCTCGCAGCCCCGCGGGACGCCCCGTTTAGCGCGATGCGAGAGACGGGGCGACGAAACGGCTCTTCGGAACCAGCCTGCTGGGACACTGGCGCACTCCACTCGCGTCGCGACCCTGGAGGCTGAGGAGTCTCTCTCTCTCTCGCAGCCCCGCGGGACGCCCCGTTTAGCGCGATGCGAGAGACGGGGCGACGAAACGGCTCTTCGGAACCAGCCTGCTGGGACACTGGCGCACTCCACTCGCGTCGCGGAGCACGCCAAGCACGCGAAGCAGAGCCAGTCGACCGGAAACAGCGAAAGCCCCGGTGTTCGAACCGCCAGGGTCGCCAAACCTGACGACTCTCTCCGGTAATCGCGTCCAGTTGCGAGACGCTTTTCTTGGGGGGCAACATATTTTTCGCTGCCCTTAAAGCTCCGCGTGACCGGCGGGGCCGGTGTTACGACACAGCCCGCTGGAATCGGCTGGACCGACCGGCCGGTCGCCACGTGACGCCCGCCGCCCCGCCGAGGCCCCCGCCGAGGCCCCCGCCGCCCCGTGACGTAAGCATTCGCGGAGACCCTCTCCGCTCCTCTCCCCGGCAACAGGCTAAGTGCCGCAGCGCCCCCTCCCCCTCCCCCTCCCCCCCACTATCGATCTCCATCAGTGATTTCATTTTAAGTGGCCGCCGCTCCGCGCCGCGCACCGCGCGTCCGTCCCAGCCACAGAACAAAACGCATCACATTTACGCACTATGGGGGTCGCGCCGTGCGGGCTGTTTCCTAACAGTGTGTCCGTCGCCGGTCTGTCTCTCTCGCACTCACGGGCCGTCCCACTACGTCCCACGGGGCCCGTGGCGGTGCGAGAGAGACAGCACGACGCGTGCCTCGCGCGGCTGCAGCGTCACCTCCGGTTAATTCAGTCGGCGAGTCGGCGGCGTTCATTTGGGCGATTTACCGCGGCCATGCCTCTTCTTTATTAGCAGTGGCGGCGCGACCGTTGCCAGTGACGTGCCATGCCCGGCCATGCCGGTGCGAGGGGGAAGTTGTAGTACGCGCACAGTCGACGTAAAAAAAAAATAATTAATTTTCTTTCAAAAAAAAATAAAATGAAAAATAACCATGATATGCTACGGTAATACGACCTATGTCCGCGTCGTTTGAAATACGACCCCTTTGCCTTTACGCCACTCTGACGGCCGGGCCGGGCTGGGCGGCCGGCGTGGCGTGGCCGTGGCATGCGGCCCGCATCAACGTCACCCCGATACAGTTTTACGCCGTGGCCGGCGGGCCAGCGGCAGACTGGAGCTGCGACGCTGCGCCGGCTGTTACTTTGAGTAGCCGCCGCGCCGCCCGGCAGTCGGCCACCTGTGCCGCCCCCGCCGCCCCCCGTGCGGGATCTGCGGCCTCGGCGCCACGGCGGTCCGCTAGCGGGCTTTATCCTCACTCTTCGCTCGCCTTTAATTACGACAA